AAAAACAAACAACTATCAACCAAGAATACTGTACCCAGCTAAACTCTCCTTCATAACTGAAGGCCAAATAAAAACCTTCCATAGCAAAGAAAAATTGAAACAATACATCTCCACCAAACCAGCCCTACAAAAGATTCTTAAAGATGTCCTACACATAGAAAACCAACAAGACCGCAATAAAGGCCAAGAAACTGCACCCAAACTGAGAATCCAAGAACCATAGGAAGAACCCAGTTTTCGCAGCCCCCAAGAAGGTGGATAACATGGCAGGAACTCCCAAATACCTCTCAGTCCTATCTCTTAATGTTAACGGACTGAACTCTCCAATTAAGCGACATAGACTGTCTAGTTGGATTAAAAAACAAGACCCTTCTATCTGCTGCCTGCAGGAGTCACATCTTGCCCGTAAAAACAAACACATTTTCAATGTTACAGGCTGGAACAAAATCTACCAAGCAAACGGCCCCCATAAACAGGTGGGAGTTGCAATTCTAATATCAGATAAAATAGACTTCAAATTAAAATTCGTGAGAAGAGATAAAGAAGGTCGCTACATACTAATTAAAGGATCTCTCCTTCAGGAGGATATTACAATTCTAAGTATCTATTCGCCAAACAATGGAGCACCCAAATTTATCAAAGAAACACTACTTTCCCTCAAATCCCATATAGATCCAAAGACATTAATTGTTGGGGATTTTAACACACCACTCTCCCCACTAGATAGATCAACTCGGCAAAAAGTCAACAGAGAAACCGCAGATCTAAACAGCTGCATAGATCAACTAGACTTAACAGACATCTACCGAACATTTCACCCAGCAGCATCAGAATACACGTTTTTCTCAGCAGCACATGGAACGTTTTCTAAAATAGACCACATTTTAGGCCACAAAGCAAAGTTGTCTAAATTCAGAAACATTGAAGTTATACCTTGCATTCTCTCTGACCACAAGGGAATAAAATTAGAACTCAACACCAAAAGCCACCAAAGAAAGTCCGGTATCACATGGAGGCTGAACAACACACTGCTGAATCATGAGTGGGTCATGGAAGAGATTAGAAAGGAAATTCAAATGTTCATGCTATTCAACAAAAATGAACACACAAATTACCAGCTCCTCTGGGACACAGCAAAGGCAGTACTCAGAGGCAAGTTTATAGCTCTGAGCTCCTACATCAACAAATTGGAGAGATCTGAAACTAACAATTTAATGACACATCTAAACCTCCTTGAAAAAGAGCAGCAAGATAAACCCCAATCCAGTAGACGGAAAGAAATAATCAAAATTAAATCAGAATTAAATGAATTAGAATCCAAAAAAACTATAGAAAGAATCAACAAAACAAAGAGTTGGTTCTTCGAAAAACTTAACAAAATTGACAGACCCTTAGCAAATCTTATCAGAAAAAGAAGAGAACACACCCAAATTAATAAACTCAGAGATGAGAATGGAAACATCACCACGGAAACAACCAAGATTCAGAACATTATAAGGGAATACTTCTCAAAACTTTATGCTAATAAGTTTGAGAACTTGACAGAAATGGACCTTTTCCTAGCAAATATTGACATGCCAAAACTAAACCAAGATGAGTTAAACTATCTTAACAGGCCCATATCAAGCATTGAAATAGAAACAGCAATAAGAGACCTCCCAGCTAAGAAAAGTCCAAGACCAGATGGTTTTACAGCGGAATTTTACAAGGCCTTCAAAGCAGAGCTCACACCAATTCTCCTCCAACTCTTCAATGAAATTGAAAGAGAAAGCTCACTACCGAACACATTCTATGAAGCCATCATAACCCTCATCCCAAAACCAGGCAGGGACTCATCAAAGAAAGAGAACTATAGACCCATTTCTTTGATGAATATTGATGCAAAACTTCTCAACAAAATTTTGGCCAACCGACTTCAACAATTCATCCAAAAAATCATACACCACGATCAAACAGGATTCATTTCAGGGATGCAAAGCTGGTTCAATATACGCAAATCAATTAATATTATTCATCACATCAACAGGAGCAAGAATAAGAACCACATGGTTATCTCAATAGACGCAGAAAAAGCATTCGACAAGATCCAACACCCCTTTATGATGAAGGTTTTGGAAAAATTAGGAATCCATGGAACATTCCTCAATACAATAAAGGCTGTATATGACAAACCTACAGCCAGCATTATACTCAATGGTGAAAAACTAAAGCCATTTCCTCTTAACTCAGGAACAAGACAAGGATGCCCACTCTCTCCACTTCTCTTCAATCTAGTATTAGAATGCCTAGCTACAGCAATAAGACAAGATGCAGACATAAAGAGGATCCAAATAGGGAAAGAAGAAATAAAACTCTCCCTCTTTGCAGATGACATGATCTTGTATTTAAAGAATCCCATAGACTCCACTCCCAAATTACTCAAGCTGATTCAAAACTTTGGCAAAGTAGCAGGTTATAAAATTAACCCCCCAAAATCAATGGCTTTTCTGTATGCCAACAATGAGACAAGTGTGGCTGAAATTAGGAAAGCAACTCCATTTGTAATAGCCCCACAAAAAATAAAATACCTAGGAATTAACTTAACTAAAGAAGTGAAGGACCTCTATGATGAAAACTTTAAAATCTTGAAAAAGGAAATCAACACAGAACTTAAAAAATGGCAAAACCTCCCATGCTCCTGGATTGGAAAGATTAACATCGTGAAAATGGCAATACTTCCCAAGGCTATCTACAAATTCAACGCAATACCTATCAAAATTCCACCCTCATTCTTCAAGGAAATAGAAGAGGCAATCCAAAAATTCATATGGAACAATAAAAGACCCCGAATAGCAAAAACGCTCCTCAACGGAAAGAACACTGCTGGAAGAATATCAATACCAAATTTCAAACTCTACTATAAAGCCATAGTAATCAAAACAGCGTGGTATTGGCATAAGAACAGACCTCAGGACCAATGGAATAGAATTGAAAACCCAGAAATGAACCTACAGACCTATAGCCATCTAATCTTCGATAAGGGAGCTAAAACAATAGAATGGAAGACAGACAGCCTCTTCAGTAAATGGTGCTGGCAAAATTGGTTAACTACATGTAGAAAACTAAAGCTAGATCCTTATATATCACCCTGCACCAGAATCAACTCCAAATGGATCAAAGACCTTGAACTCAAAACAGACACTCTGAAAACATTACAGGATGGAATAGGAGAAACCCTAGGTCTCCTTGGCTCAGGCCGAAATTTTCTGAATAGAGACCCGGAAACACAACAAATCAAAGAATGGTTGGACAAATGGGATTGCATAAAGTTGCAGAGCTTCTGCAGGGCAAATGACATAGCTAGCAAGATCAATAGAAAGCCCACGGATTGGGAGAAGATCTTTACTAGCCATACAACGGACAAGGGTCTCATATCTAAAATATACTTGGAACTCAAAAAATTAAACCCCCCAACAACAAATCCTCAAAGAAACAACTGCCCAATAAATAAGTGGGCAAAAGACTTAAAGAGAAACTTCTCTGAAGAAGAAAGAAGGATGGCCAATAGACACATGAAAAAATGTTCAACATCCCTAGCCATAAAAGAAATGCAAATCAAAACAACATTGAGATATCACCTCACTCCAGTTAGAACGGCAAAAATCAAGAACTCTAACAACAACAGATGCTGGAGGGGATGTGGACAGAAGGGAACCTTACTTCATTGTTGGTGGGAATGTAAACTTGTTCAATCACTTTGGAAAGCAGTATGGAGGTTCCTCAAAAGACTACACATAGAACTCCCCTATGACCCAGCAATCCCACTTTTGGGCATTTACCCAAATGTTTACAAACAAGACCACACTAAAGCTACCAGCACAACTATGTTTATTGCAGCATTATTTACCATAGCTAAGATATGGAACCAACCCAGATGCCCCTCAGTAGATGAATGGATCAAGAAAATGTGGTATATATACACAATGGAATTCTATGCCTCCATCAGAAAGAATGACATTTCCCCATTTGTTAGGAAATGGAAAGGCTTGGAAAAAATTATATTAAGTGAAGTAAGCCAGGCCCAAAGAAACATAGGTCCCATGGTTTCCCTTATATGCAATATCTAGTATATGTATGAGTCAAGCGGAAAAGGTCAGATAATGTGATGTTAGGAAAACGATCCCTTAAATATGTATTTTAATTTTTTTTTCTTTCATGCATGTGTTTCTAACGCATTTATAAGATTATTTCTTTGTTGCTTTGTATGTCGCTCCCCCACAGTGTAACCCCCGCTTTCACTATATTTGATGTCAGTATAACATGTGGAGGAGATGGGGACAAACAAGTCGTTTAAGGATTCAGGTGGACCTGTTGCAACAATGAGAAGTACAAAATGTCATGTCAAAAACGAGCTTTACAATGTCGGTGTGGGGGGGAAGGGGGGGAAGGATTGGGTGGGGGGGAGAGGGGAGGCTGGGAAGGGAGGTGAAGGGTAAACAAAGGAGGAGGCTGCAATGCTTGGTAAGAAATGTATGCATTATCCTGCCCATGTAATTGTAACCCCTCTGTACAGTATGTTCTCAAATAAAATAAAATTAAATTAAAAAAAAAAAAGAAAATATCTTGGTTTCAGTACCAGCACAAACAAAAGCAAACCAAAAAGCCCCCATTTGGATAGAGAGATGGAAGGTTTATAATGAGCTGCTGGTAGCGAGACTGCCAGAGTGCATGGCGATTCACATGCATAATACCAGCACTGCACTACTCACAAGGAGGAAGTCCAGTGACCGGAAGACTCAAGCTCTGCAAACAGCCCCCATAATGAACTGCCATGCCCACAGTTCCTTGTGTGTGTGTCCTTGGAGACATTTCTTAGCCTTTCTGATCCTCTACTCTTCATCTCTACAGCCTCGTAGGATGAATAATGCTTGGGAGGTCGTCACCATACTGTTTGTCATAAGAAGTGTTAACTCTTGTCCTTAGGTGCCGTGATCTGTTAACTCTTATGTCCTTCCTTTCAGGGCCAACCAGGACCACTGGGACCTCAGGGTCCCATAGGGCCCCTGGGACCCCCAGGACCCCCTGGGATTCCAGGAGAGAAGGGTCTAAGGGGTGACGCCGGCCCTCCTGGAGCCGTGGGGGAGAAAGGAGACAAGGTGAGTAGCTTCTGCAGCCTCTTCAAGGCACTCGGTGCCCTGTTGTTCAATGAAATCCATCCAAACTCCTCTGCAGTAACAACTCTCCCATCCTAGCCCCTGTATAGAGAACGGTGTCCTTCTGGACCTTCTCTGTGTGTTTAAACCCCCAAGTGTGTGCCATTGAGCAGGTGCATTGTTTAGAGGCTTAAAAACAAAAACCTTCAGGAAGCTGGTGGCTCAAGCCTGTACTTTTAGCTACTCAGGAGGCTGAGATCGGAGGAGCTGATGGGCAGGAAAGTCCGTGATCTCTTAACTCCAATAAACTACCAAAATAATCTGTGGCTCAAGTGGTAGGGCACTAGCTGGAGAATAAAAGCTTGGGGACAATGCTCAGGTCCTGAGTTCAAACCCCAGGACCAACACAACAGATCAAAACAGAAAAAGCCTAATACTTTCTCACGTGTTATCACACTGTCTTGTTTTTTTTTTTTTTTTATCACTCAGCACTATGATTTTGATGATGATGATGATGATGATGATGATGATGGATGATGGATGATGGATGATGATGGATGACGATGATGTCAGTCGTGGGTCTGAACTCAGGGCCTGGGCGCTGTCCCTCAGCTCTTCAGCTCAAGGCTAGTGCTCTACCACTTGAGCTACAATGCCACTTCGGGCTTTTTCTGCTTATGTGGTGCTGAGAAATCAAACCAGGGCCTCATGTATGCAGGGAAAGCACTCTACCACTGAGCCACCTTCCCAGCCCCAGCACTATGATTTAAAGATAATTCTTCATTACCTTCTTCAGGTTAGATTTATCCCTTTAAATCTGCATAGTATACCACTGCAAAGCTAGAACTCATTTCCTGCTGATAATTTGAGATTGTGCCCCAAATTTGGCAGTGTTAGTGTACAAACAGTCCTATAAGATACTGTTGGTCATGTTTACTAGGCTATTGCTCTGAAAAGCTGAATTGCTGACTTAAATCAAATGCACACTGGAAAGTACAAAGAATCGTTTCTCAAATGACAGCATATTAACTCATCAATGGAAAGACCAAATGATCATGACCAGTAAGAGGTTTCAAATGAGTCCCAATTTTCAAGTAAATCAGCTTGCTAGTCTAATAATTTAGTAATGTTTATGCTTTTGTTTTATATGTTGTAATTCTAGGGTCCAACTGGCATTCCTGGGTTTCCAGGTTTGGGCGGAATACCTGTACGTATTCTCCTTTTTTATTTTTGAAGAAGGGGGATATATTTTAACTGTATTTTTTTTTCTTTTTTGGTACTGGGGATTGAACCCAGGACGTTGCACTTGCTAGGCAAGCACTTTGCCACTGAGCTACATCCCAGCCCGAGGTGGGGGGGGGGGATATATTTTAGAACCCATAAAACCACATAGTCAAAAAGCATACCTATCAGGCAAACTTAAATTTTTTTCCATGTTTGTATATGAGAAGTACATGGAATACATAACACATGAAAGGGTCTTTGGATTTTGCTCAGTCAGCAAGGGTTTCAAACAGATTAGGGGAAAAAAACCTCCAAAATCAGAGTTAGATTTATTGTCATATAAAACACAGTCTTCTGGAAATAAAATATGGTCTTAATGAAATTTATTTTCAAAAATTGCTAGTGGAGTAGAGACTTTCACTTTTAATACAAAAATTAAATGAGAGGAGGGGATTTATTTTTGTAGTGGGGGAAGGGGAGACAAGGGAATGGAAGGCTTTGAAAAAAAATTGCCTCTCAAATCTCTCAGAATAATCCAGAGTAAATTAATTCAAATTTGGATGCAGGACAAGATCTGTACTTTTGGGTTTCCTATGACACATGGCACTTTTAGACAGGGAAGGAAATTGCATGAACTTAAACAAGTTAACGTGCGAGCTACCATGGCCAGAATTTGGGACCCATAGCATGTAACCTTGGTGTTAGGGATTTTCCTGCATAAATAAACAAGTAAATAAGTAAATAAAAAGGCTTCACTTTTGTTTTCTGTAGGGTCACCCAGGGCCTCCTGGATCGAGAGGAAAACCTGGCTTGAATGGCTACAATGGATCAAGAGGTGATCCTGGATTTCCAGGAGAAAGGGGAGTACCAGGCCTCGGAGGCCCCCCTGTAAGACACCCACAGGGCAGCTCATCGGGTGTGAGAAGGCCTACAGTAGGAAAAGGCTGGCATGGTTAAAAGCAGAGTTAATGCAAGAGTACCTGGAGATCTGTGAACTCAGGGAGTGTGGCTGGAGGAGGTGGTTAGACAGCAGGCAGGATTGAACATGTAAGGCTTTGTAGACTGCACAAGAGATTGGATTTTCTTCATTGCTTCTTGCAAAGACACTGATGCTTTCAAGGAAGAAAGAATCCTATGGCTGCTTCTTTAAGCTGTCTCTGTACAGAGAACGGATAGTAAGGAAAAGGAGCAGAGGGGCCAGGTAGCAAAACATAGGAGGGTTCACTGCAGACATGTCTGAGCGCCCCTAGAAAGCCGAGCATAAAGGTATTTAATAGAGGAGTTTGCCTTTGTTGTAATGGCTGTAGGAGTGAGACTTGGGGCCCAGCATGGGGGAGGGGGCTGACTCTGCCTGACTCTGTCAGGCAGCTGCTCTTGTACTAATGCCTCGTACCCCATATCGGGACACCAGCCGACAGTTTCCTATGTGGAAGTGGCAGCAGAATGACCATACACTGGGTCTCTCCGCCATTCTGTCCTCCATGTCTCCTAGGTGGAACTTCCCTTCCACCCACCTACAGAAGCCTCTTCCTCTTCCTCCTCCTTTTATTTCACACAACGTGGCCTCACCATGTAGCCCACCCTGGCTTTGCATGCATGCTCTTCCCCCTCAGCCTCCTGGTGGCTGTGATGGCAGGCACGCACCATCACACTAGATCAAGGTTCTGTTTTTGTTTTTCAATCTCTGTGGCCTCGTGTAATTAAAGAAGATAAATTAGAGAAGGATTCGGAATGGATGTCCGTTCTTAACAGTGGACACTGTTGACACTTGACGATAAATTTACTATTCTTCATTGTTGGTTTTCTTTTAAAAAAATTGGGCTTAACTTCAGCAAGGGTACTTCCTTACATGCCCTTCTTTTTCTATACTTCATGTGTCCTCCAATTTTTTTGTGTTTGTTTTCTTTCTCTTTTCGTCACTTAAAGAGCAGAGATCACTTGTCTCTTCAAAACAGATTTTCTGTGGCTAGTTTTCAGCCCTTTCCCTTCTCTCATTAAATATTGTGCTTCAGATTTCATTCTTCAAGCAGAGTCATCCAATTCTTCTTCACAAGTCTTCTTTGTGTTTCAGACCTATGAGGAACTTATCTGGATATAGAACTCAAAAAGCTTTTACAGACTCCCCCCTCCCCCCCACCCCCCACTCCCTCCCCCACCTTATTTTCATTACGACACAGGAGCCACAATCATCTTCCATTTCTAAAAGATTTTTTTAACCACCCGAGGCTCTCAAACTCAAGCATTGAGTAGTCCAGTGCAGTCTGTTGAATGCATGTGTCTTAAACTCTTCAAGTTGGATGGAACCTAATTCTCCTGAATCAGCAGTTCATGAAAGCAGGAATTCCCGCTGGTGGCTTGTAGACAGCAGTACTGGTGTGCACAATGGTCCCCTGAGTTATCTGACATGTTTTGTGTAATGTGAGGATGCCTACCTTCTCTACCGAATCATTCAAGACTTATGATTGGCCTCTGTTAGTTATATAGCAATTTGGAGACCAATGAGCTAACAGTGGAGTTGGCATTTTATGTCATGACTCAACTAATTTCAGTAGTAATCGGGATTGAAATTCAAGTCATGTTGTTGGAGGACTGGTATTATTTAATTGTGGGACTGAAATTTATGCAGATTGGAACCACAGGAAGTTAGCACTACCTGCAGAAGCTGATTTGACTCAACTAAGCTGTTGGTGTAATTTCCTAAGAGTCAAGCACCCTGTGTGAAGAGCTACTTTGAAATGTGTGTCCTTCATAGAAGCTTGACATATGGAGAAGATAGAAGGTTTAGGTGGCAACCAAGTTAAGATACATTAAGATATTAAGTAGGAGATTAAGATGAGACACAAGAAAGCCTTGGAAGAGTACATTGAGCTATTTCATTCACTTTTTAAAGATAACCAACCAGCACCTATATACAAAAACCTCCTAAAAGGAACATATCATCTTTTTTAAGTTATTTTTACAAAGGATGTGCAAGCTCTGTTTGGAATGTAAATACTGAAATGGACATATGCTTTTCTTTATACTATTTCTAGAGCATGAATTAAAATAATAAAATTGGGCATTTAAAAAGAATAATGCCTAATCATTATATTGTAAGAAAAAAATCCAATGTTTCTGCTGAAAAATTCATGAATATCTATATATTAGTGGATACTCTGCCTTGGGAATTCCTAAACAGAGGCAATTAAATATGGAGGAATTGTATATGAGAACTTTAGGAAGATAAAACTCTACCAGAATAATGGTTGCAATGTTAGTTTTATTGTTCACTAATATTTCATATGAAAAAAATCCTGCCATAATAATGCACTTTCTCCACTTACATAAATGTTTTATTTTCAGGGCCTTCCTGGAGAACGTGGTGAAAAAGGAAATTCAGTGTTCATTGCTGGTGCCATTAAAGGTACTCAGGTAAGTAGTACATCAATTGTGAGTATTAGGTGAATTTTCTTCCCCTCAAAGTGGTAAACCATGCAGGAAGTACACTGATAGGGGTTTCCTGCTCAGTGTCAATCAGGATGAATTTTGTCATTGCCTGGACACACCAAGATGGGTATCTACTTCTTGTGTGAAGACACTGGCTTCTGTCACTATGACTACAGCAACACAGCGCCACCAGCAGTTCAGAGTTGCAAGCACACTTTGATGTCAAGGTTTGGCAAGCTGGTCACTACCAGTATTTTGGTGCAGATCCTGAGCATTACAGAATGTCAGGCCTTGCAGCCTTACCCTGCCCCCCTCACTGGCAGTGCTTTCCTCCTCCTCCCTCCCCACCCTGCCTCCACCCCCCCCCCCCGCACCGATAATGTCACCAGCTATTAACAGATATTCCCTAGGGAAGAACAACCCCTTGGTGTTGGCTACTGATTGCTAACATTTGCATGGTGCCATCTAGAACAATGAAAGTTACCACTATGGAATTTGAACACTCTAGAAAGTTTTTAGCACTCTCCCAAAGGAATGCTTGTGTGCTTTAAGCAGGGGAAGACATACAGGAATATTCAGAAATAAGGTTTCGAGGGGCCGCTTCATCCCAAATCTGAGAAGCCATGTTTCAACCAGGTACAAGGGCGATGAGTGGAAAAGCAAAGAGAAACAGTCCATTTTCCAGATGCTCTTTTTCTCTTAGGAATAAAATGAGTTATAGATTGTTGCTCTGAGAGCCTGAGTTCTGTCCCGTTGGAAGAGGATGCAGCTGTCCATCTACACACAGCCAACAGCAAGAACTACAGCTTTCACTGCAACTTCAACAATATTGTAGTAAACTCAGCATCCCACAGGGTATTCTAGGAACCAATATCACATATTGGAAAGACTTCTCTTGCTTACAAGAATTATACAGTAACCTTCATAAAGAATTATACAATATTCTTTTTTAAGAGTCTTCACATACTTCACATTCATTTAGGTAGCTATTAGAAAAAGCAAAAAACAAAATAAAACAATGTCAGCAATAGTGTGTCATTTTAGATGAGAATGTAAAATAGTACAGCTACTATAGAAAAAAATGTGGCAATTCTTCAAAATATTAAATGTAAGATTACTGTATAATTCAGGAACTTCTGGGCATGTCACTAAAACAGTTGAAAGCAGAGGCACAATGCATGTGCACAGTAGCCAAAAGATAGAAGTTGCCTCATGGTTTGTCAAAGGTGGATAGATGATCACAAGAATCAAATGTAGGTCTATCTATATAAATGAATATGATTCAGCCTTTAAAAAAGACGGAAATTCTGATATATGCACCAATGTGTATGAAACCGGATGCCATCATGCCCAGTGACAAAACAACAAACAAGTGAGATAGATAGTAAACAATAGAAAACAAGAAAGATAGCCATAGAAGAGACAACCAAAAAGAAGTGAGACAGAAGGGGAGAGAAGTCTAGAGACTTCCTTATCTCAGGCCTAAACAGAAGATCTTTAATAAGAATGGCCATACCAGATTCCACGGCCTAAATTTCCTAGAATATTCAGTTTCAGAGACAGACAGTAGAATGATGCCCAGAGTGACTTGGCATTGGGGATTAATAGAGTATTTTATTTATCATTATTATTTACTATTATTTTAAAGTAGTTGTACAAAGGAGTTGCCATTTAACAAAGCAATGTATGAATACGACATATCTTGATCAATGTCACCCCTTTCAACATTCTCGCCCATTTCTCCCCTCCCCAACCCTTCCCTTGCTCTTCTTAATTGTGTAGGGTATACATTGGATTCTTGTCTTCATTTTCCTCCCTCAAGTCCTCTTTACTTATCTACCCCCTTTCCTGTTGAGCCTACCCCACTCCTTTCCTTCCTTCCTTCCTTCCTTCCTTCCTTCCTTCCTTCCTTCCTTCCTTCCTTCTTTCCTTCCTTTCTTGGTTTCTTTCTTGTTGATCGTGGGGCTTGAACTCTGGGCCTGGGCATTGTCCCTCAGCTCCTCAGCTCAAGGCTAGTGTTCTACCACTTGAGCCACAGCGCCACTTCCGGTTTTCTGGTTGTTTATTGGAGATAAGTGTCTCTCGGACTTTCCTGCCCCGGCTGGCTTTGAACCTCAGTCCTCAGATCTCAGCCTCCTCAGTAGCTAGGATTACAGGCGTGAGCCACTGGCACTCCCACCCCTTCCAAATAACCACTTCCTAATGGTTTGTTGTGCTTCACTTTGATTTCTCCTTTCTAAGGAATCACACTATTTGAGGTCTTCCTTGAATCAACTATATTTCCATAGAGTTTCCACTGGCGAGATGAAGACATTGTGTAGATGGATGGTGGTCTTGGTTGAACAACATTGTAAATGACCTGAATGCCACAGAAATCACTATCAACTCAAAAGTGTTCAAAGCCTAGACTTTTATTTTATAGCTAATAATTCACATTAGAAAGCACCTGTACCTGAGAGAAGATGCATGAGTGCCCCTGTTAAAGCAGCTGAGCCTGGGCTGAGTCACGAGCATCAGATGCGGACAGCTAGAGGTGTGAGGAACTCTCCCCACACATTCCTTTACATCATTGTAGGCTGGTCCCAAGGGGCCAGGTAGGCTTGTGAGGAAACACCATCTTTAGGTGGAGAATTTCGAGTAATTTAAACTGACAAAACAACTCTCGCCTCTGTTCTAAGTGGTCATGACTTCCAACCATTTCGTTGCGGTTCCCATTGAGGAGAAGGAGGATTGGAGGCCTATCGATGCACTTGCCCAGTGTATTCTCATCGCCGGAAAAATTGAACACCATTAGAAGAATCCAAATAATTTCTGTGCATATTTTTAAAAACATTGTTCACACGATCCATAGTTTAAAAAATCTGTCATGCCCTTGTCAAACAATGTACTGTTATCATTGCAGGGAGACCCCGGGGACCCAGGACCTCCTGGCTTACCAGTAAGTCTCCCCAGCACATCATGTGCTGCGATTTCCTATTCCAACAGTCCAATGTGTACACTAGATTTTAAACCCAGCAGAACTGGCCGCATAATTTGTGAGGTCTACCTAACAGAAAACAAAAGTGTAGTCCAAACATTGAGAATTTCAAGACAGTGAGAACAGAGAATGGAATCAGTGTGAGATAACACAGCTTACGTGCACCAAAGCAAGCTTCCGAATTTAGTTTTTCAGTTAGCTACACCTTACCTTCTCCTCTATCGTGTGTGTGTGTGTGTGTGTGTGAGAGAGAGAGAGAGAGAGAGAGAGACAGAGACAGAGACAGAGACAGAGACAGACAGAGACAGAGATAGAGACAGAGTCAGAGAGACAAAGAAAGAGCAGGCCTATGGCTGTAGGTTGGAGGTCTCTCCTGGTGCGAGAGAGAGAGAGAGAGAGAGAGAGAGAGAGAGAGAGAGAGAGAGAGAGAGAGAGAGAGAGAGAGAGAGAGAACTGGAGTTTACCTGCTGCTAGTGGCGAACCACTTAATTAAGTCACAGCTCTACTTCAGGATTGCATATGTGAGCCACTGGCATTTCCTCTCTTAACGATCATTTGGTGTTGCTCAGATGTTTGTAAACCCTTTTTACTTTCCTAAGTAGTAGGAAAGTAAGTCTGCTTGTGACTGTACATGTGCATAGGTAGATCTCCTTACATAGGCATTGGAAGGGGAAGTAATTTTGCCCTATCTCTCTGTACTTCCTTTGCCTGCCAAATCAGTGACCATATATTATATCTGCCTTCCTGTAACTTGTAATTCACTGATTATATTAATCTCCCATGCATCAATGTTTTTGGGATTGAAATTGAAAGCAGTTTTGCCTCCTGCTGGTTAATCTATCATGTTGTTCTGTGTTTCTGGCTATTGACGATGACTTCCTTGCATTGTTTTCCTTAACACTGCTGAGGCCCAGCCCTGTGCAATAAATGAGATGACTTTGGGACAATGAGCAGGAGTCCCTCTCCCTAGAGAGGGTGCGGCATTACACTCAAACCATTCGACCCGCCAGTCAAGCAAGGGTTTCTCTTTACCCTTCCAGGCTGCCCTGCTAGAACCTTTTCATCCTAATGGGTGCCTGTGAAAATGATATGATATAAAAACTGTGTATGGTGGACCGTCTTCATCTTAAATCGGGATCATTGTGTTTCTATCCACAACGGTCTTTACCAGTTTGGTAAGAGGCATATTACAAAACAGTATTAAAATATAAATGTATTACTATTTAACTATTAATGTTAACTGGTACTAATATTTTAATCCTTCTAATATATGTACAAATAGTAATACGTGTGGAATTTCGCTAAGAACAAGTTTTCTCTGATTTTTCTTTCCATGGTCCTGGGGTTTGAACCTGGCCTCACTCTTCCTAGGCTGATGCTTTACCTGTAGAACCAGGCCTCTAGTCCTGCTGTTTTGATGGTTATTTTGAAGATAGAGTCTAGCAAATTCTCCCCCAGGCTGGCTTTGAACTGTGGGATCTTACAGATCTCAATTCCCTAAGCAGCTAGGACTACAAGCAGGAGGCACTAGCATCCAATTTGAGTTTCCTTTCCTCTTAACCTTCACTGTGACAGTTTTATGTATTTATTTTTGAAAGTCTATGGTTCTCTGTGTCTTCACAACCAGGTTTGTCAGATCTACAAAAAGTTCAGGCAGTCCCAGGTCTGTGGAAGATTCTCCAGCTGAGCATGGATGGAGGGAATTCATTGTGTTGGGGGTTTCAATCCACCTGGGATTACAAGGCGGCTCTTGTTATGAATGCAGCTTGTATTTTTTTAATGTGCTGATTTTGTCCTGTCTAGGGATCTAGGTTATGAATGCAGCTTATATTTTTTTAATGTGCTGATTTTGTCCTGTCTAGGGATCTAGGGGTCCGCCAGGACCAGTGGGCCCCAGGGGCTACCCCGGTGCAGCGGGGCTCACGGTGAGTGTAACGCCACAAACGCTGTCTGTCTAGAAACCCAGCATCAACGTTTGGATAAAATGTAAAGACAGAAGTGCAGCATTGGGTCAGGCACGGGCAGCCCCCTTGAGAGCTTATATTTGGGGGATTCTGCCTACCCCCACTTTATCTGCAGGACTCTGTCTTTACACACAGGTCTCGCCAGGAATAAGCCACTGAAGTGAGATTTCCACAGCCCAGTAGCACATCCATGCCAAAAAGTCATGGGCAAAGATCCATTGTGTACTTTTTAAGTGTTAGTTGACACTGAAAGTATACATGGTCATAGATACAAAGATGAGGTTTGGACATGGGCAAACAAGGTGAACTGATCAAATCGTGGCAAGTAGCATACGATGATCTCAAACATTTGTCGTTATGTCAGAAACACTTTTAAATCCTCTCTTGCAGCCACCTTAAAATATGCAATAAATTATTGTTGACGGTGGTGCCCTTCTGTGCTACAGAAGGCGAGAAGCTAAATCTCCCAACCACAGTTGTGTACACAGCAACCAAGCATTCTTCCTACCTGCTTCTCTCCGCTCCAGCCTTCCTAGTGGCTGATGACAACTATTCTATTCTATTCTGACTACCTCCATGAGATCAATTTATTAAAGCTCTTACATAAGAGAGAGGTCATGTCGTGCCTATTTTAAAGTCGAGTGTTTCCTAAATAGAAACTTGAGACAACCAATAAACACACATCTAGATAAGCTATGGCTGATTGTTTATGTGTTTGTTTATTTTGTCTTTGATTTAGGGACCTCCGGGTCATCCTGGGAGCCCAGGGTTGAAGGCAAGTCCTGATACAAATATACAACGCATGCACATTGAAAGAGTTCATCGAGGATGCTTGTTAGAATGACATCTTTCCCCTTATCAGATTTTCTAAGTGTTTAAATGAACTCCATAGAGGTCCTCATTTTTTATTGTTTTTTTTTTTTTAATTCAAAAGCAATTAGATTGATTTTCTTCTCTTTTTCAGGGCAATCCTGGTGTGGGAGTGAAAGGGCAAATGGGAGACCCGGTAAGGAACAGCCTGGCACGGAGGTCACAGTGTAGGGGATGTGCATCATCCTGTAATGGCGGTTATTTGGGTTATTATTTAGCTGTGCTCACAATCTGGTCACCGCCCAACTTGATGGCTGAGAATTTTTCTCTCTGCTCAATTATTATGCCACCATTTGCCTTGACTTGTAAATGACAGCTCCGACACAGCTTACACTGAGTTCAGGTTCCTTTAGATGACACATTTCAACATGGCAAGAAAGATAATAAAAAAAAATATAAAGTAACTTGAGCCACAGACGTTTAGTAACATCTCCTTCCCACTATCCTTCCTGCCTCCTCCTCCCTCTCTTGAGTCACAGTCCTTTCTGTGGAAGCCTGAGCGTGAGGAGAAGATTTTAATAAGTGAGTGAGCCAGGTACCAATGGCTCGTGCCTGTAATCCTAACTACTCAGGAGGCTGAGATATGAGGATCATGATTCAAAGCCAGCCTAAGGAAGAAAAGTCCATGAGATTCTTATTTCCAATTAATCACCAAACACTTAGAAGTGGTAGAGTGCTACCACAAAAAATGCTCAGGGACTCAATTAAAATAAAATAAAATTTAAAAAAAAAATGCTCAGGGACAGCTCCCAGGCTGTTGGTTCAAACCCTGAGACTGGTACACACAGACAGACAGACAGACAGACAGACACACACACACACACACACACACACACACACACAGAGTGAAAATAATGGGTTATCTAGATATAATTAATTCAGTGTCCAATGGGAGGCAAGTGGCTTTCAACATTAGAAATAGATACCAAGCCTCCATTCTGTGCCATGCTAAGCTTGATACTGACTGTGGACATTTAACAAGATAGGCAGACTGGTACCCACTCTCATGAAGTTCCAGCATGGTTAAACTATGGTAAAGATGTTTAATAGAGCAACAGAACTGTCAAAGATAGGATGCTTAGAGGTGTTTGTGGTCTCTATTCACTCAACACTAGCAGCGGCCTATGCCCCTGAGTACATCAACAGCACTATGTCAAGACTTACCAAATGTTCCTCTGTGTGTGTGTGTGTGTGTGTCCAAACCTTTAGAACCATTGACTTAGAGACATGACTAAAAGAACATACAGTCAGACAATAGTGTTCAAACTTGAGGAGTCTCAGTCCCTGGGATTACTTTGTTTTGGCTCTGGAAGCCTCCCACCCCTGAGATGTGGCAAGGCCCGAAGGCATTACCGGCTGAGTGGTCTTCAGGGCTGAGGCCAGCGGATGTATTTGCAAGCTCAGGCTATAGAAAAATGTGGAAATATTGAGTGATGTGGTGACCCTTTAAGTGATCTAAAAATTAAGACAATGGAACTTCATTCATCTTTATAGATGGCTATAAGCCTGTCAAATGTATCATGCGTTCAGCAAAATACCTTGAAGTGAACCAGAATTATCATCAATATCATAGAGCAAAAATGTGAGGTTTAGAGGAATTTTAAAAAGTAGAGATGAGAAATATGTTAAGAAACTTCTCCGAAGTAATACAGCCTAGCTGGCAAACAGATGCCTGACTCAGAGCATATGTCAGAAACAGAAGATAACTTTAACTGTCCAATAATAGTGATATTCAAAAGCATACAAAGGGCATCTAATTAAAAGTGAAATTTCATAACTGTACTGTAAAAGCATTTTAAAGCCCCAATAAAAAGCAAACAAAAACAAACAAAAAAACCCTTTTGGTTAGTTACTTATGTATGGCATCTTGTGTTTTAAACATTACTGAAAATAAATAAGAAATAACCTAATTTATTGATATAAGCTAGAAAGAAAATAAATCTACCCAGACTGGAATAACTCATAAATCACTGTATGTTCTTATGATATGTTTATTTGACAAGCACTGAAAATATCAGGATTCAGAAAAAGATTTAGTATAGTTGGAAAATCCCCACAACTATAATCATAATTTAAAAATAAAAAAAAATAATTACCTTGCATATTTTACATTATGCTCATATACTTATTAGGTTGTGTTATTCTGATACACGCACATACACAATATATATCTTTAGTTTTTGTCATATAACATCTCATTTATCCTTTAGTTGTGAATAGTAGCATTGCTAAGAAGAGCATTATGGGTTGTTAACGTTCAATGTTTGAAAGTTAAGCCCTTTATGTTTTTAGGGTTTCTAGTAAGAAATCTGTTATTCTGATGGGTTTCCCAGTTTAGTTATAAGACTTTACTCTCTTACAATTTTCAGTGTTCTTTCCTTGTTCTCTGTGCTCATTATTTTGGTTATAATGTATTATGGAGAGGTCCTTCTTATTTTTATTTTATAATTTTATTAACTTCAAGTGGGCATACAAAGAAGTTTTGTTTCAGCATGCTGGTTTATGAGTACAGTGCATCTTGATTATCATCATCCATTTAATCATTTTCCCTTCTGTTTCTCTCAACCCCATCCACCCCTCAATTCTCTTAATACCATTCACACACACTACACTGCTCAGCTGTCATCTCAAGCCATGTGGAAAGCTGAGACTGGGAAGGTCAGGGTTTCAATCCAGCCCAGACTCCCTCTCCCCTAAAAAAGCAGTCCATGAGACTTCATCTTCACAGAGGGAAGCAGGCTATGATAGGGAACCTCTGCAATCCCAGTGTTGTCAGGAAGCCTAAAGTAGGTAGATCATAGTTCAAGCACATGCCCGTGCAGAAATGAGACCCTATCCCAAAATAAGCAGCAATGAACAGATCTAGAGATGTGACTTCATTGGCAGAGTACCAAATTAACAAGCAAGAGAATCTGAGTTTAAACTCTAGTAGTGCATATATATTTTCACACACACACACACACACACACACATACAGAGAATATAGCTAACCAGCTAAAAGAGATCAAAGAAGACCCATATAAACAAATGAATGGCGTAAATAGAAATTTCCTTTAAAGCAAGACATGAAAATGTATCTCAACTAAGAAAAATCCTGAAAAATAATCAAATTGAAGTCTCAGAAAAATAAATTAGAAAGCCTCTTTGACATAGTAGATGAAATAAAACTCATAATTTTAGGACTTAGAGATAGATTAAACACAGTAAAATAAGTAGAAAAGAACCAAAGAAATACTGGAACTTTGCAAGAATTTCAGGGATCTACTAAAAGACTAAACTTAGAAATCATGGGCATAGAAGTGGATCTGTGGTCCAAAGTGGTAGAATGCTAGCCTCCAGCAAAAGCACTCAGGGATGGCACCCAAACCCTGTGTTCAAACCCAAAACTGACATACCAAAAAAGGAAGAGGAAAGAAATCATGGGCATATATGAAGAGATATGGTGACTAAAGCCATAGAAAACATCCAATAGAGCAGTAGGAGAACAATTACCAAATTTTGAAGAAGAGAAAGTCATTGGGGCTTTTAGATCACCCAGTAGCCAAGATCAGAAAGGGACCTCTCTCAAGAGGAGAGGGATAGACAAATGAAGAGAGGAAGAGTGGAAGAATGTATGCATATGTGTGTGTGTGTTTGTGTGTGAAAAAATATATATGCACTACTAGAGTTTAAACTCAGATTCTCTTGCTTGTTAATTTGGTACTCTGCCAATGAAGTCACATCTCTAGATCTGTTCATTGCTGCTTATTTTGAGATAGGGTCTCATTTCTGCACGGGCATGTGCTGGAACTACGATCTACCTACTTTAGGCTTTCTGACAGCACTGGGATTGCAGAGGTTCCCCATCATAGCCTGCTTCCCTCTGTGGAGATGAAGTCTCATGGACTTTTTTTTTTAGGGGAGAGGGAGTCTGGGCTTGGTTGAAACCCTGGCCTTCCCAGTCTCAGCTTTCCACATTGCTTGAGATGACAGTTGAGCAGTGTAGTGCAGAGCTATGACTTGGGATGGGGTGGGGCTTACACAATTTTTTGCCTTAGTTGGTCAGGAACTATTTTCCTCCCATTCTCAGCCTTCCAAATAGTGAGGATTACAGGCATGAGCTGCTAGCATGCTTTTTTATATTTTATGCTTAGCCATAAGTATATTAAATTTTAAATAAGAAACAACAAATATTCTAAAGTACATGAGATATTTTCCAAGATTTATATATTAAAATTCATGAAATACAGAACTAGAAGCCTTATTATATCATACATGGGTGAAAGTCTTACTTTGAAGCATAAATTAATATGCAATTCATAATCTCTTGATTTTATTTAAAGGGTGAAGTTGGCCAGCAAGGTTCTCCTGGACCCACCCTATTGATAGAACCACCCGATGCTTCTCTCTATAAAGGAGAAAAGGTAAGCCCCCAATTCATATGTTACCTCATAAAGTAGCGATAAAAGCACCTTATATGTCTCACCACATTATCCTCAAAGCTGCCTTAACAGGCTGGCACTTTCATTAAATTCTTGAAAGTTTCCATGGCCTCGAGTCTATCTAGCTGCTGAGTTAACAGACTGATTGTAGACTGCCAAATTGTGCCAAGTCCTCCATTACACTGAGTCTTACAAATACCATTTCAATTTAAGTTGTCCTTCGAATGTCATGGATGGGTTTGGTGTTTTAAGAACTGACAAGATAACAAATGTATAAGGCTGGGGACGCAATAGATCTGGGGGCAAATATTAATTTCCTCTGTCAGCTTCCAAAACTGCTATTACTGATGTCATATACCAATTCTGTTGTTCCTATGGAATGATTGGTTAAATCCCTCTACCTTGCTCAAAAGGAACCACTTCCCTTGGTGGCTACATTTTCATGGTTTCATGGTGGTCCACCTCTGTGACTCATATACTTCTCACATCGACCTGAAAAGGAGTCAAGGTCACAAGTATGCTTAAGGATTAATTGCTAATTGAATTCTTTATTTAACAAAAAAGAAACACATTGACAAAGGAGATGGTGTCTAAAAGAAGATGGAATGCACCATGCTACATAATAAGAAGTAACATCTTGTTCATTGTGATTTTTAGGGTATAAAAGGACTTCCTGGAATGATTGGATTACCAGGACCACCAGGACCCAAGGTAGTTTAAGTTCCTTTTTCTATTTCTATAAAATGATACCTCAATTCAAAATTTCATTTTGTGCAATCTTTATCATTATTGCAAGTGCTAATTTTTATCAATATAGATATGCATTATGTTTGTATGTATCTATCTCAAGAATTTTTTATTATAATCCTATAAGACTTTTGTTTTAATTCTCTCTATAAGTTTATCACCGTCCTAGCTTATTTTTCATTGTTTTTACTCTCTGTATTGGTGAACTATTGTTGCTTGCACCTTCTAAATCTTGCCATTTTTTTTTTTTAAGGGAGAATCTGGTATTGGGATAAAAGGAGAGAAAGGTCTTCCTGGATTCCCAGGACCTCGGGTAAAGATCATCTGTTATTCACACCAGTGGATTTGGAATCAATGCTCTTACACAGATTTGTAAGACTAGATCTGTCATCCTATATGTTCCAAGATGGAGACTGTCTCAGTTGAACTGTGTGCTAGAGCCATGTCTCAGGGAATTCTTTCGCTTAATAGCATTTAGATGAAATAAATGCGTAGAATGTAGAAAGAACGGCAGCAAGTGTCAGGACTCTGGGAATCTGCTGTCTTGTTCAGTGCTAGTGTGGTAGGTACTTGGGATGGTGAATTTCTGCATATTTATTTCATCAATCAAAGCACTAATCCAAGGGAAACAGCTAACAAAAAATGTACCATGTCAGACCAAAAGGATTACCCCACACATGTCAGTAATGGGGTGTCACATGGGGTATACAGAGGTCAGTCCCCAGATGGCATGAACATCCATCAAGCTAGATTTGCTACTGAATGGGGCAATATTGCTTTCTATGGATGTTTTTATTGCTGAAGGTACAGAGAACAACTACTAATTTCCAGATAAATGTATTACAGTAATTTTAAAGGTATTTGACTAAGTGCAATAGGTTAGATATATTAGCACTGAAAGAGAAGTAAAGACAAAAGTTCATTCTCTTTGAAAGAAAATTCATTATGGAGTAGTTATAAAGAGGCTACAATTCCATAAATCAGATTATGAGTATAATGCATCTTGGTCAATGTCACCCCTTTTACCTTTCTCCCCAATTCCCTCTCTCCTCCCTACCCTCAAGTTACATAGTTAAATTTCTACAAAATGTACATTGAATATAATGACTGTACTTGGCTCCCCTTCCCCCTTTATTTGTGTGCTTTCCCAAGCATGTTTCCACTTTCTGGAAAGTACATTCTTAATTAAAGCTCTGGCAATGGCATAATTTATTTGAATAAAATGAAATATAAATTACAGTCCCAATAGGCAAATAAATGGAACAATTTCATATTTATTTCCTTTACTTCAACCATTTTTGCAAACAAGACTCTGTGTGTGTGTGTGTGTGTGTGTGTGTGTGTGTGTGTGTGTGTGTGTGTGTGTGTGTAACTGGTGAGGTAAAAGAACTGATGCGTTGTTATTTAACTCTTCCTTTCCTTTAATTTCTTAGGGTGTTCCTGGCTCCCATGGGTCACCTGGTTTTCCAGGATTAAAGGTAAGCATTCCTCATTACAGAGGTGATGAATGCATTCCATTAGTAAATGCAGGTCAGTCTTATTCAGAAGTACGATTGCATGTTAGTCATTAAAGGAAAGGAAAGGCAGATACATTCACTTCACGAATTGCAGGATTTAGCTGTGGATGCCAAAGCAGAACTCTCAGATGCAACTCAGAGCAGTGTTAAGAGTTTGCAGTTTCTGTGAGCATTCTGATTCGAATTAAATGAGGAGGAGGTAATTTGCTACCCAACCCTATTCATTTGTTTAAAAATACATGTTTCTGTGTGTTTGAAGGGAGAACAAGGACAGATTGGAGAGCCCGGGCTATTTGGATTACGTGGCCCAAAGGTAAAAAAGTGAGCCTACATAAGATAAAATTTTATAACCCTTACGTTATCAAATGCAGTTTTAAAAATATTTCACAGAATCAAATAGAACTTTTAAAAGAGCCAGAGTTAAATTTGTACACACCACTGGTACATATTTATGAAATATGCATGTCACATATGCTTATTTTCATATGAATTGCCATGCTAGCATGTTTGTTTATAGTTGAGAACTAATTCTTTTGAAAGTGAATAACAATAATAATTTCAAACATTGCATGGGATCCAAGGATATTGAGAATGGAAACACAGAGAGTTTTAGAGCGGACTGCAGTTTTTACCACAGCATTGTTTATTTTCTGTTTAAACTGTGTGTAACTACACACTCAGCACTGGATCAGGACAAAACACAGTGGCCCTCAGGGGACATAATTAAGACAGACAGTATTTTCATACTAGAAGAAAATGGAGACTGAGATCTTGCTGGGTGAATAAACCATTTTTTACTGGCATTCCATCTTAGACATTGATTCTCATAGTATATCAAAGAAACCAAGAAATTTCAGAGGTATTTAATTTATGATCATGGAATAATTTCATTGGTATTAATTATTTGCTTTTGTGAGAGCTTTGTCAGTTCATTGCTTATTTGCATGTGCAGGTAAGAGATTGGATGCATCTTTGCTTTTCCTTGAACTCTGTGAAATCATTCATCTTCACAGTCAGCCTAATCTTTACTTTCTTAAAATGAAGGTGCTATGGCTCTCCCACTGTTTGTTTAACGTCAGATGACACCATTATTTCTAAGAAAAGTAAGTGAATGAATAATTTTAGGGGGACCTTGGAGAACGTGGACATCCGGGACCACCAGGCATTTTGGTAACCCCGCCCGTCCCTCTTAAAGGTTTGCATTCCATTCAGTTCTTCCACACTTCATACAGAAATGGGATTTGAGTGGCTCACACCAAAGAGTTTGGCCCAGTGTTCCTGTAGCTTTCACATTATGCAGGCAAAACACACAAATATTAGCATCAAGACGTAATTCTATACGTTCATGTTTAAATGGGCATCTGAGTTTGTATCTACTAGTATAAGACATCCACTTTTATATGATGCATGCTTGGATGTTGATTATGTTATCTTTCAGAAAGTAGTTTTGTCGCTGTTAAACAGTGCATGAGATCATTTGACTAACTCCTGCCAAAATGCTGAACAGGAAGGGGGCTATTGGTATCTGGGAGCTCTATTCAAAGTCCATGGGTCTGCAGAGAAAGGCTGGCTGAAGGGGATTCAATCTGAGATACTCCACTGGAATGGTGGGGAGGAACTAGACATTGCACATCACCGAACCTCACAGAAGTCCTTGAGTCTGAATTTTACAATGTACATAGACATGTGTTTATTCTTGTCTCTGGCAGGTCCTACAGGGGACCCAGGATGCCCAGGCCGCCAGGGAGAAATGGGAGCCATAGGACCACCAGGTCCCCCAGGCCCCCCCGGCCTACCAGGGGTGGCTTGTCCAGGTATGGATCCATTGCATTTAATGTATTTGATTTCAGACATCACATCCACCTGAGTAATCCTCAGCACAAGCTCATAATATCGCTTTAGGAAACTTTTAAAGTGATGGATGCCCATTGGCTTATTATGCCTGTCATCCTAGGTACTAATAAAGTAAGACCTAAGGATCAAGGTTCAAAGCCAGCCCAGGCAGGAAAGTCTGTGTGACTCCTATTACCACCAAAAAGCCAAAAGTGGAGCTGTGGCTCCATGTGTGTTAGAGCACTGAGAAAAATGGCTTGGAGACAGGGCCTTGGATTTGAGTTCAAGTCCCAGGATTGTCACAAAAAATTAAGAATAACAGTAATATAATAATAATAATAATAAAACCTGCAATACTAGGTTCTGCTATTGTAAGAGTGCTTCTGCATTTCTAATATGTAGCCAAGTTAATCACTGAACTCAAACTAATCAATCATTTATTTGGAAGAAATACAGGTTCTAAAGTTTAGCCAAACAGGGATATTATGAGGACTATATTTCTGTAAGACACCTCTCCCAAACTATCACCTATAGATAAGACTTGAAACTGGAAACAAGGCACTAGTGGTTCACACCTGCAATCCATTCGAGCTACTCAGGAGGCTGAGATCTGACAGTGGCAGTTTGAAGCCAACCCAGGCAGGAAAGTCCGTAAGACTCTTATCTTCCATTAGTCACCAAAAAGCCAGAAATGGAGGTGAGAGAAAAACTTAAGGGACAGCTCCTAGGACCTGAGTTCAAACCCCAATGCCAAGCAACAGCAACAACAAAATTGGAACTGCCACTAGGATTAATATATTACAGTGTTTCCTCTTTACCTACCATTGTAGAAATCTCTCCTTGTTAACAAGCACTCTTATAATTCTTACCATTCACCTGGGCCCCAATTTACATTTCCTATGTGAAATTATCAAAGAAAACTTATGCTCAAGATGTAAAATTTTAGTTCAGATGTATCTTTTTAAAAGCATCTCCTAATCTTTCACCCAAATAGGAACAAATCCCATGCAAACTCTAGGTCAGAGTGACACCTGATGAAAATCCTAAGAAGTATCACAGCGCCACCTGGAGGGAACCAAGCTGGTTCCCTCTCTTTGGGAACCAGGCTGGTTAATACTTCTAAAATTAGCAACAAGAATTTGTAGGATATTTTCCTTCTGTGAACTCAGAGAGCTGATTAGGCCTGGGAGAAGGCAAGTCTTGGATAAGTACAATTTATTCCAGCTGATGGTTGTTGTTATATTTACTGAGATGTCCTAAGAAGTGTCTTGAGCTATTCAACTCTAACTACAATTTGTTTGATTAGTTGTCTTCAAATCAAGCTTTCGTTATTAGGGTCTGTACAAACTCCATGTGGGAGTTTGTGATATGAAGGAAACCATTGAAATTTCTACTGCTTACAAGATGTGCAATTGTAAGCATTTATTGAACCTCACCGTACCTCAATTTTTCTGTCTGCAAGATGGAGCCTTGTTAGGACTGGCAGAAGGTATATGTCCATAATCCTTACAATACAGCGTGAGACATAGTAAAGACTCATTGTGTCATCTATTAATATTCTTTTTCTTTTTGTCTGTGGTGGGGCTTGAACTCAGGGCCTGAGCTCAAGGCTAGCAGTCTACTACTTCAGCCACAGTGAAACTTCCTAATATTTTTGATAGGTGGCCTAAATTTACTGTGCCTTAATCTATGAAGTGTGAATTTTTCAGGTTTCTTTAAAGAGAAAAGGTAATGTTTACAAATACAAGTGAGCTCCTAGGACATATGCACCCAAGAATAAAATCATTAACTTACCCACACCCCCTATGCTATTTTGCTGATTACTGACAAGTTCCAGTTGTCTATTGCTGAGCAAATTACCCCAAACCTAGTGGCTTGAAACAAAAGCTATGTATATTTACCGCTCACTCTTTCTATAGTTCAAGAGTTTAGGAAGGTCTAGCTAAGCTGAGCATTCTGAACTTAGAGGTTGTTTTTTAAACTCTTAGAATCACATAGATACTGGGACTTGAGGTTCAAGTCTGGCTGGGCATGTATTTCCTTCATCTCTCATTTAGTTTCAGTCTCTCTACGTGGATTCTTTCTCCATTCAGGCCCTGACGATATTGGGAGGATCTTTGGGGCAAGTGAGTTATTTATTAAGTCCCCAAGCATTTTATCTCACAAGGATGGAGCTGATCCACTTATCAGAGGGGACAGTTCACAAGGAGGGAGTGACACCCTGCCTTTGGATCAGGAAATGCCCAGGTTTTAAAAGAACTTGTGCAGCTAGAACTGCTGTGAGGACATCTTTGTGCAGTTCAGTCTGCTACAAAGACGATGCAGCCAGACAGTGACAAGCAGTGACCCTCAGCCAGAGACCTCCCATTACACCTAAGTCAAGGACACCAGCAAAAGGGGAAGGAAGTCAAGAGCAAGGTTGGAAGGAAGTCAAGAGCAAGGTTAACCTACGAATGTGTTACCTGTTTACCTTTTTTGAACCTGATGGAGCATCCACGGAGCATGTGCCATCATTAGATATTGAACTAAATTCCTTATGTGGATTAATGGACTCACCTATGAGGCTGATGAAAAGGTTAATAATTAAATGACTGCTTAAGATTCTGATGAGTACAGAGGGAAAGGTGAAGTTCGAACTATAAGCCTCTGAGCATCTGGCTCAACCTGAGATACTATGAGAATTAAGTATTTTATGTCCTGCATAAATGATGATGTGAGCATATGTTTATGTCTGTTAATATGTGCTAATGGCTTTATTCAGATTACTTTTACTGTCATGAAAATGTTAATTTTAGGTTAACAAGATCTATTTTCATCCAGTAACCCCAAAGAATGAGAAATCTGAGTCCTCAAACCTGTCCATTTCCACTTGTCTGATTGTTTTGAAGGAGGTGAGGTAGCCTGGGATATTCAGTAATTTTTAAACTGAATTTTCCTTGTTTTTATTTCATGCAATGTATTTGGAGTATTAAGATATAGGTCATACTTTATAGCTAGAAGTCTGCCTAAAATAAAAGAAACTTTTAAAATGTGGCTCATTTTCCTTACCTCTTTTTTTAAAAATCATTATTTTGATGATGGTAGGGTTTGAATTCAGGGTCTTATGCTTGGTGGGCAGGCTCTCTACCTCTTGAGCCATGCCTCTAGCCCCTTTTGCACTGGTTCTTATCAAGATAGTATCTGTGTGTCCAAGCTGGTCTTGACTGCACACTCGCCTGTGTTGTTGGAATGACAGGTGAGTGCCATCCACACCCAACAACTGGCATTCCTCAGGAGCTGGGGATATGGAGCACACCACCACACCCAACCACTGCTGGCATTGGAGTTTTGCAATCTGTCTATCAGAGCTGGCCTCCACCTGCTATCCCCTGCCCTCTGCCTCTCAAATAGCGAGGATTACAGTCTTGAGCCACTGGGCCCAGCATTCCCCTATCACTTTTATGCGCCATCATCTGGAATAGTTTCCTTAAAAAAGAAAACAACAGCAAAAAGAAAACAGCTTTATTTATATATGTTTGATATCAATATTTTATCTAAGCTGGGCACTGGTCGTGCATGCTTGTAATCCTAGCTACTCAGGAGGCTGAGATCTGAAGATAGCAGTTCAAAGACAGCCCAGACAGAAAAGTCCCCATGAGACTCCTCTCTCATTAACCACACAGAAGTCTGGAAGTGAAGCTTGGCTCAAAGTGGTAGAGTGCTAACCTTGAGCAAAAGGGCTCAAAGACAGCTCCCAGGTCCCGAGTTCAAGCCCCATGACTGAAAAAAATGAAAATTGTACCTACTCATGATATAAACATGAAGTTCTGCTGTAAATTGTGAAGTGATCACCATGTTCTCATGATCATATTTGTCACTTCTACATAGTTACTATGCGCGTGCGTGCACACACACACACACACGCACACACACACACACACACACACGTGTGGTTAGACCATTCAGTCAAGCTCTATCTTCGTTTTTTTTAAAGCTCTATCTTCTTAGAAACATCAAGTGTATTGTCATCTCCACCAGGCTACATTACTTCTCCATAACTCCCTCACCTTGCCTAATTGAGATTTTTTTGTTGTTGTTGGTGGTCATGGGGCCTGAACTCTGGGCCTAGGTACTGTCCCTCAAGGCTCAAGGCTAGCGCTCTACCACTTTAGCCACAGCACTACTTCAGGCTTTTTCTCCTTATGCGGTGCTGAGGAATCGAACCCAGAGCCTCATGCATGCAAGGCAAGCGCTCTACCACGGAGCCACCTTCCTTGCCCCTAATTGAGATTTTTGAACCTTAGGTCAATACCACTCACCTCCCTGCGTTCCCCACCCTGGGTCTACTCCCTGCTTCTATGAACTTGACTCTGTAGATTCCATACATGAATGAAGTCATGTGCATGCCTCTTTCTGTGTCTGGCTTATTTCACAATGTCCTCTAGCTCTGTTCATTTCCCTTAAAAAGGCCAAAAAAACAATTCTGGGACCTAAAGAAGAATGTGCTGACTTCACTTTCTTCTACAGAAACATTGACTCCAAGAGCAGGTGTGCTTTTCATCCTTAATTTCTCTTCCAGGCATCACGGGGCCTCCCGGGCCACCAGGGTTTCCTGGTCCACCAGGCCTTCCCGGGGAAGCTGGGGTTCCTGGAAAACCGGATTTGGCTCCTGGAAAACCAGGGCATCCCGGGCCGCCAGGCCTTCCAGGAGCACCAGGGCAGCCGGGACCTCCAGGATCGGATGGTAAAGTGGTCCTCATTCACCCACACGCGCATCTATGCTGAAGTGACACTGGCAGGTTCATTCACAAAGTAGCACCTTCCACACATGTTTAAAGCTGTATATTTCTAAGCTACATTAGTAACTAAAATCCTTTTTACAAATAACAGCTGGACCATGACATCAGTGAAAGTATGTGCCATTATTTACCAGGAAGTATGAATGATGGAGTTTGGTAAATAAAGAATTTTTGAAGGTTATTTTTTATTTGAGTCATAGATGGGTCTGGTTTAAGATTCCATTTGTCCTCTAGGAAGTTGCTAGAAGGTAGTGTCTTCTAGTCCTACGTGCTACAGACAATTATTTCCACACTCGTGGCTGGTATCATTTTTTACTGTTTCTATATTGCTGTTCAACATGCTTGGAACGCTATTTTTTCATTATTTACTTTGGCATGATCTATTGGCCTTCCCCTTGAGAAGATGAATTTAATTCTCATTTACCAGTGCATGTGTGCCCACGTCCCATCCCTCAGCCTACTAATAGAGCTAGTGTCATAATCTTGATTAAACATTCAGTGTTTACATTGAACAATTACATGTTATTCTCAGACAGAGCCATATAATACTATATTTTTATTACTGCATTGACTTTTTTCAGCATAATATTTTGTAAATTGTCTTGCTTTCTTTGCATGTTTGCTTGGTTATCATTGTAATTATTTAACTCAAACTACCCAGAGTTGTGTGCATTTGACCATTTTATACATTAACCCATTAAACCTTGTAACAGTATCAGCTTATTGATCTTATTGATAAAATCTTCCCTGGAACTTTTTTTTCTTTTGGTCATGGGGCTTGAACTCTGGGCCTGGTTGCTGTCCTTCAGCTCTTCAACTCAAGGCTAGCACTATCACTTGAGCCACAGCGCAACTTCCCCTGGAACTTCTTAACTTATTCAAATTAGATCAGGTTGGACTTGAAACTTATTGCTGGGATACAGCCTTGAGATTTTCCTCAGAAGTTTCTCTGTCCTCTCTCTCTCTGTCTCCTGTCTTTTTATTTGCTTGTTTCTTTGTTTCACATAACTCAGATTGACTTCAATGGCTACCAGCTATACTTCTCAGAAAGAGTACCAATAAGGAAGTAAAACTGAGGAATCTTACTCGGTCCTACTGTGGAGTTTGATTGATAACTTTGCTGAATATAAAATGTTAGAAATCTTTTTCCTGCAGGATTTTGAAGGATGAATTCTCAATTGTTTCATCTTTTTCAGTGTTTTTACAAACCTTCAAAACATTTAGATACTTGAGATTCTTTGTCTAAACTCTCTTTTCTCTCCTGGAAACTTCTAGGAACTTTTCTTTGTTATCACGCTCTTGTATTCCACAATGGTTTGCCTTTTACTTTGACACACTTCAGATTCAAGAATAACTTCTCAGTTCTCCGATAACTGTATTGTTTGAAGTTGCAAATAAAAGAACTTATGAAAACAGAACAAAACAAAATAGAAAAACTACTAATTTTGTATCTTTCAATCTTTATTGTTAATCTTTACTTATCAGTAACTTTTGAGAAGGTTTTTTTTTCCACACTTCACTCCATCTTCCATCCTTCTAAATTTGCAAATTTCTGTATCAATCATAATGAACACAGATTTTACTACTAAGGGTTTTCTTAGTGATGCTGTTTTCTGTTCAGGTTTCAGGGCTGAGTGCACACCTTTATCAGCTATTTTGGCTCTATAGTTTCTTTTGAAGTTTTTTTCTTGCTACATTGTCTGTTTCCTACAGATTTTGGGGCCTGGATTTTGGTTTTTGTTTTTGTTTTTGCTGCTGCAATTTTTGGAAAGAATAACCTCTTGTTCAAATGTTTCTTAACCTAGTTCTGAATCTGTCATTCTGTCAATCTACTCTGTAAACTCTGGGGTAAATTTCTGAGGTAATTACCCTAGTTTCTCTCCTTTTTATTTATTTAGGTGAGACAAAGTATATGTCTTTTATTCTCTTGGAATCTGAGCAGAATGTAGAATTGATTGTCTGCATTTTATCTGTGATCATTATTTGTTTTTGTTGTTGTTAGTTGGTTAATGGTTGAGAATTATTTTTAAGGATTGAGAATTTAAGGAGGAAATGTCTATGCCATCCACTGACTTCGGAGTTATGTTTTTGTTATTGGTGTTAAGGTTGTTGTAGACTATCTTGTTCTGTAGACCACAAATTTAGGACTGAGATTAAAGCTGAGTTTTACCACTATTTATAATGGCGAAAGCATGCCATTTTTGTAAGCATATTCTCTATATCCTAGATAGAGAATCCTGAAGGAAGAATAAAACAACATATGGGGCTATGAAGGGAAACGGAGGAGGGAGGATGGGAGGGAAAGAGACTCATGTTCCACAGAAAACATTAACTATAGCGATGTGATTCTGTCCATCCACCCCTCTGCCACCGAACAGTGATACAGTGCAGTGTTAGCTACCCTGGACCACCAGGAATAAAGGGTATAATGGGCCCACCAGGAAGAAGAGGCTCCAAAGGAGAGAAAGGTAAGTAACAGATCAAAGATGGAATTTCTAAAGTAACTACATACCACATGCGAAGCACTGGGGGGTATGCACGTGACACAGGAGGTAGCATTTCATTGAGACCTCTTTCTCACCTTGGTTACTGCTCTTTGTGAGTAATCTACTTCACTAGGTGCTATAATGTGATCAAGTCACCCCAAACTCAAATCCTTGCCTCTTCAAGCATAAAGGCCATATATCACATGAAGTGGCAACTTTTGCCGGCAAGCTCCTCTTGATTCCCTGAGAATAGTAGAGGGGCTGGGCTCTACCACCCTGCAGTGTTCTTATTTCCCATGACGCTGGATGTCTGGGACTCTGTGTTTCTGTTCTCTAAACATTTAGAGCCTCTTTGAACAACTGAGTCAGGAACTAGGAGAACATAGACACAACAGAAGCCTTTGATTTTGCTAAAAAGTTTTTGGGTTAAAAGTCTTAATGGCAACCGAGCACCAGTGGCTCATGACTGTAATCCTAGCTACTTAGGAGGCTGAGATCTAAGGATTGAGGTTCAAAGCCAGCCCAGGCAGGAAAGTCCGAGAAACACTTCTCTTCAGTTAACCACCAGAAAACCAGAAGTGGTGCTGTGGCTCAAGTGGTAGAACACTAGCCTTGAGCTGAAGAGCTGAGGGAGAGTGCTCAGGCCCAGAGTTCAAGCCCCACAACCAACAATAACCAAAGTCCTGATGGCTAGGGAACATGCCATATTTAGTACCATCATCATCATCTATTTTCATGGCTTATACCGTAATGTATGTATTTGTTTCTTCAGTGGGGTCCAAATACTTTGCAATTCTTCAGTAGGATTAAATATTAGTTTTCCAGGATGTATTTACCACACAAAACACTCCCATTTGAATGGAAACTATGGACCCATTTTTCCATTGCAGTAGGGCCACCCACACTCTGTCCAGCTGCCCTGGCCCAGTGAAGATTGACCACATCAGAATCTTTTTGTTCTCTGTTCACAGTATTGGTTTCTGTATTGAAGTTCTTTTTGAATAGGAAAAAGGACAATGCTTGCCTTTTCTCTCTGTCTAGGAAACCAAGGACTCTGTGCCTGCAAACCTGGCCCCATGGGTCCCCGTGGCCCCCCAGGGCCTCACGGGAGGCAAGGGAGTAAAGGAGACTTAGGGCTCCCTGGCTGGCTTGGAGAAAAAGGTGATCCAGGCCTACCTGGTGCTGAAGGCTCTCCAGGGCCCCCTGTGAGTAATTCCCACCAGTCGTAGTCTTTCCAGGGAAACAAGACCGAATTAGAATTACTATAACTCTTTGGAATTGTAAGCAAGACATACTCCATGTTTTGAAGCTATAAATATCTTAATACCTTAATAATTATTCCTATTCATTCATCCACCCATCCATGACTAACTTACTAAATTGATCACTATCCTTTGAGTGTTCCTGGCACTGTTTCAGGTACAGGGATCAAATATAGCCTCAGTCCTCCTGGAGTTTCAGAAAGGACACAGACCTTTCAACAGACTGATGATAAAATATTAGTATGGCTGGGCATTGGTGGCTCATGCCTGTAATTCTGGATACTCAGTAGGCTGAGATCTGAGGATCATGGTTCAAAGCTGGCCCAGGCAGTAAAGTCCATGAGACTCTGATCTCCAATTAACCACCCAAAAGCCAGAAGTAGAGCTGTGGTTCAAATGGGAGAGTACTAGCCTTGAGCAAAATAGCTCAGAGACAGTGCCTAGGCCCTGAGTTCAAACTCTAAGATTATCATAAAATATGATGATGATGATGATGATGATGATAATTATTATTATAATACCACTTGTGACCAGACCTGGAATGTTAGGTTCTGCTATTTTAAAAGTGGCTCTGCATTTCTGATATGCAGCCGAAGTTAAAGATCACCAAACTCAATACAGGTTCCTCAGGGATATCATAGGTCTATCACCTGCAGGTAAGATTTGAAACTAGAAACCAGATTCCAGTGGTTCATGCTTATAATCCATCTTAACTACTCAGGAGGCTGAGATCTGAGGATGGCAGTTTAAAGTCAGCCCAGACAGGGAAGTCCATGAGACTCTTAGCTCCAATTAACCAGCAAAAAAAGCCCCAAGTGGAAATGTGGCTCAAGTGATAGAGTGCTAGCCTTGAACAAAGAAGATCAAGGACAATGCTCAGGTCCTGAGTTCAAGCCCAGGACCAGTGCATGTGTGTACGCATGTGCATGCACACAGTGTGGAGATGGTAACAAAGTCCATGATCATCTATCAGGGATTGAGTAGAGGGTAACCAAGGGGCAAAGTGGGAAGAGATGATGTCAAAGGAATGGCTAAAAGGCTTGGATGTGTCTCAACAGAAAAGCACTTGCCTAGCGTGCATAAGGCCCTGGGTTCCATTACTAGCACTGAAAAAAAAAAGGTAGATGTTAACAATAACTGAATTGTAGGGCATAGGGTTTTGCAGATGGGTCATTTTTCCACCTTGGATAATATGAAACATCTAGAGTTTTTTGAGAGAGAGATTAGATATACGTGAATGTCAAGAGTTTCGACTCATCATAATGAATGAATGTGTTGCTCTTTTATTTCTCAACAAGGGTAAACCTGGTGCCCTGGGACCCCCTGGCTTCAAAGGAACAAAGGGTGACATGGTTGTAGCAAGAGTTAAAGGTGAGCATGAGTAATCACTGAGACCTGTGACATCTTTAAAATGGTATATGGCTTATTCTTGCATTAATTTCCCCTGTGATCAAAGGTCAGTGCTCTATAATTTACAATAGTTGAGACTGCATAAAAATGATTCTCTGCCCTCCCTAAAGTGGTGCCAATGCTGAGCCATTGGAAATGCAAGTGCTCCCTTTGTCATGGATTCAAATCCTCACAGTAATGAACTTGTGTGTGAAGCAAGACTTCCGTTCATTTGCCTGCTGTTTACTTACTGCTTTATAGTATCATGTGTTGCACAAGAATATTTTTAATTGTAAATGATAGATGTTTAGCTTAAAGAAGGTTGGAGAAGAAAAGTAATGCAATGGCTTACCTAAACAAAATATGAAAGCATAGGCATGGGGTTGTTCAGGAATACCCAGGTCCAGGACCTTGGGTCACAGACAAGAATCTCTAAGCCATAGCTTTAATGGATCCAAAGGATTTTGGAGGGGGGGGAGGGACACAGGGTTCCAGGAAGCTCCAAGTTTATACAGTCAGCAATGAAGAGAGTTTTGCTTCATCAGCTTAGGTAGAAAAGTAATTTCAGAAAGGATTGTTTTGTGTAGAGCAAGACACTAATTATGCTTGTTCTTTCGTTCCCTGGGGGCAAGGAAGTGAACACTGTGTGATGTCACCTCGGGCAGGAGAAGGTTCTAGTTCTACCTCTACTGAAGTGGATAAAGGGGAAATTCACAAATAAGGAGATTCAATCGATTTGGCAATTATCATTCACCCTCTAGATGACTGGAACTCCACCAAGCCCCCCAGAGTCAACGCTATTGTCTTTATCTTTACTCCTCTCTTTTTTTCTATATTAACTCCTTGCTGATAAAAGCTTGAATGGCTTTCAACCTCTGTTTCTAGGGATCAAAGGAGAAAGAGGACCTGATGGGCCCCTAGGATTTCCAGGCCAGCGAGGACAACATGGTCAAGATGGACGCGATGGAGAAACAGGGGAGCCAGGACCCCCAGTATGTACAATTCTCCTGCTATAGAATTCCAGTTTCTTATAAGGTCTCCTCTTTTTTCTCCTTCTTACTTTACCTGTGCTCACGTACGTTTGCCTCTGTTACCAACATGCTGTCACCAGTGGCCTTTTAGCTCTCTGCCACCAAAAGATGATTGTTAGAAAAGGTGTGGAATAATTTGAGATGGTCAAAAATCCTTAATAATAGTTCAGTCATGGGAAGATTTTTGTGTCCCCTGTCTTTGAGGAGTTTATTTTCTTTTGGGATGATTATATCTTGCAAATCCCTACTGAGTGTAGATCTAATCAGTGGACAATGGGGTCTGTGATTGAGCACAAGTTCTGATCCTAAGCTTTAGCTCTGTTTCCTGGTGAAGAAACACATGAGGGTAAGTGACATGGTACAAATCCACTGAACTGACATATTGGCTTTTAGAAAACCCCATTGACCAATGATGGGTGAATACTGTGCTGGTGATGAAGGTTAAAAGAAGACAGTAAAAGACATGATCCTTGCTTAAGAACTTAAAATATCTTAGGCATGTAACCTATTTTTGAATGCTTAGACATTACAGAAACTGAGCTTGATGTTTGATGCTTGTAATGATAGTCTACTAATGGGCAATTACCTTCCCAATTTTGCAGTAAGGAAATGATGGCTTAGAGTATTTTATTCAAAGTGACTCATCTGTCAGGTAGGCTAAATAGAAGTGAGGACTCTTGGTCTGCTGCATTCCCAAGTGTGCACTGTTCTAGCCCAGCCGGTGCTATCTGCCCCAGGAAATGGAAAACACAGAGTGCTGTAAAAGGGAAGGGCCAGGTTTTGATTTTACAGAGATCTCCAAGAGAGAATACGCATGAATAAGAGTCAGAGATTGAGGACTGGACTTGGTGGTGTTGATTCCTTCTAGCCTTTCAGATGGATCAAGTACATGAAAATTGTCAGGGTTAGATTTGGAGAGCATTGTTTTGTTTTTTATTGTGAAAATACTATACAGAAGGGTTACAATTACATGGGCAAGATAATGAGTACATTTCCTATCGAGCATTGTTGCCTACTCCTTTGTTTCCCCTTCTCATCCCTTCCCATCTCCTCTTTGAGAAACCAATAACATACAAAGATACTTAACTATGGATGAGACTGGCAGAAGAATATCTGAAACACTCACTGGGGAGTGTGTGTGTGTGGTGGGGGTTCCTACATTCATTGAAACCTCAGGATTTTCACAGACCCGGATGGAAACCAGCCCAGGCTGAAGGATAAAAGACATGCCCTCAGTTGACAGCAGGACAGGATCCAGCATTCTGAGCACCCTTGTGTAGAAGAAGATTAGATCCACCTATGATCGTTGTATAAACAGCTCTGACTTGACTGCACCATTCCTCTCTCAGGAGCTGTTAAGCCTACTGCCCAGCTTCTGGGGTCTCCACAAATGACGTGGGACTTACAGAAAGGAGCCCCCTATTTAAGGAATCTCCAACAAGGGATCCCATAACTCTTTTGTTGTTGTTAGTTTGTTTGTGTCCTAGTAATAAGGCTTGAACTCAGTTCCACTTCTGGCTTTTTGGAAGAGTCTCACAGACTTTGCTGCCAGGGCTGATTTTGAAATTGGATCCTCCAATCTCAGCCTTCTGAGTAGCTAAGATTATACATGTGATTATACCGGTGCTCCACTCCCTATGAGTCTTTTATCAATATATCTATATATTAATCATCTTTAAGCAGTTGTACAAAGGAATTACCATTCAACATAGAAGTTTAAGAATACACTGTGATCAATGTCACCCCTTTCAACATCCTCGCCGACTCCTCCCTACCCACCCCTTCCCTCACTTTTCTTAATTTTGTAGTATGTGTATATCTATAATTCTGCCATTTAACAGGGCAGCTTATGAATACAACGCTTCTTAATCTGTGTCAACCCCTTCAATATTCCCACCCCACTTTGACCCTCTCCTTGCCTTATTTTTCTTAATTTTGTGGTATATACAATGAATTCTTGGTTGCATTTTTCTGCTGTTCCCTCTTCGTTTATCTACCCCTCTCCCCTTGGTCCCACATCCCTCCTGCATGTATCCATTTCCTGGTGTTGATTTTGTTGGGCTTCAACCCAGTCTTTCTAAAAAATATAGATTATTTGTGCTTTCCATAGAGTCTATTATACTTGAGTTAACTCATTTGTAACCACTTGCACACCACCCAGTGTATTCGCTTATAGATATTATAGGCACATGCTAGCTACCACAAACGAGAGAAACCATACAACTTTTGTTTCAATCTATAGATCTGGCTTATTTCTCTTAATTTTATTTTTTCCCAAGTCTGTCTATTCCCTTAAGAATGGTACAATATACTTCTTTCTAGTGGATGAGTAAAACTCCATTGTGTATATATGCTCCACATTTTGTTGACCACTTGTCCACTGAGGGACATCTGGGCTGATTCCATATCTTGGCTATGATACACAGTGCTGCAATGAACATGGTTGTGCTGGCAGCAGAAAATAAACAATAACAAATGCTGGCATGGATGTAGCCAGAAGGGAACTCTATTACATGGATTATAAGCTTGTTCAACTACTCTGGGAAGCAATATGCAGGTTTCTCTAAAAAGATGAAGCATAAAACTACCCTGACCCAGCAATTCCACTCCTGGACATTTATCCAATAGAGCTCACATATCTACAGTTTTTTTCCAGACCAGATGAAAATTTTCCAGCCAGACATACATAAGCATTGTTGCCTAGAAATACAGTTGGTGATTCAGTATAGGGTTTCTAGAGGAACAGAGGCCAAGCAATCAACCAGAGGTCCAACTGGCATGAAGAAGGGAGAACAATTTAACCCTTTCTCCACACACATGGAGGGTGATGGAGCCTTTTCAGAAGAATGTAAGAAAGCAATTTCAGAGAAGAATCTTTTTGATTCAGACATTTGTCAGCTCCCTTGGCTTGCTTATTTCTATGTGTTCTCACACAGCATTGAGAATGGTTTTCATAACCTTCTGTACCTAAGATTCAGCACATGTACGTGTGGAGTGTATGTCAATGTGCAACTATGTTTGTAAAACATTAGGAAGAATCTAACTTAATAATTTGTAGTTACACTTCCTACAGAGGAACTATCTCTTTGAATTATGGACTTCTGCCTGCATTTCTATAGCTTGCAATGATTGCCTGACATTCATGGAGTTTTCAAAGATCAGTAATTGATGCGTGATGTCTATACCTTCCAGGGCAGTCACGAAGATGCAATCCCAGGTGCTAAAGGGTTTCCTGGACCACCAGGCCCTCCAGGGAAACCAGGCCCCATGGGGCCTCCAGGGCTGGGATACCCTGGTCCACCAGGAGAGAGAGGGAAACTGGGACTGCCAGGCCGCCCTGGTGTGAGGGGCCCTGATGGCTCCAAGGGGCAGAAAGGTAATTTTGAATGTTTTTGTGGTACAATGTCAAATGAAATCATGAAAGCTAAAGCAAATTTATTTTTTTTCTTTTCTTCCCTCCCTCTCTCCCTCCCTCTTTCCCTCCGTTCCTTCCTTCCTTCCTTCCTTCCTTCCTTCCTTCCTTCCTTCCTTCCTTCCTTCCTTCCTTCCTACCTTCCTTCCTTCTTCCTCTCTCCTCCCTCTCTTCCTCCCTCCCTCCCTCCCTTCCTTCCTTTCTTCCTTCCTTCCTTCCATCCTTCCATCCTTCCTTCCTTCTTTCTGGACAATGTCACCGCTTCCTTCTCTCTCTCCCAGTTTTTCCCTCCTGTCCTTACCCACAAGTTGTACAGTTCATTTTCAACAGTTTCCTGTGAGTACCACTGCTGCATTTATTTGCCCTTTGTCCCTCCATTTCCTTTTCCAAAGGCAGAAAACAAACAAGCAAGACAAAAAGAAAAGAACATTAACAACAAAGAAAAAATTTCTCATTTCCATTTCCTGAAATTTATTTCAATAGTAGTTTTTAAAATACATTTTTATTGTAAAAATACTGTACAGAGGGGTTACAGTTACATGAGCAAGGTAATGAGTATATTTCCTATCAAGATTTGTTGCCTCCTCCTTTGTTTTTCCCCTACCATCCCTTCCCTCCCGCCTCCACAACTACATTCCCCCCCTCTTCTCCTCTCCCCCTCCCCGCTTAAATAGTAAAGTTCATTTTTCAATATAGTATTTTGTATCTCATTGTTACAATGGGTCAACCTGTGTCCCTATTTAAGGAACTTGTTTTTTCCCTTCCCCTCCCCAAATGAGAAAAATGTATATACAAGATACAGGGTACCGACATCAAATACAGTGAAAACAGGGGTTATACCATGGGGGAGGAACATACAAAGAAACAAAAAAAAAAAAAAAAAACACATGATACACTATAAATACGTTAGGAACAATAGCAAGAAAGAAAAAAACTACTTGTACCCCTATCTTGAGGTTCATTTTGCTTAACATCATCTTATCTGGTCATATGTACATAGCTTTTTGACCTTTTCTGCTTGTCCCAGATATATACTAGTCATTGCAAATAAGGGAAACCATAGAATAGTAGTTTTTTATATGACCAGATGCAAATAGGCATTTCACTTTTGTGTTCCTCTCCTAAGAGTGTCCTTCTTTTGTCTCATTGTGAATACCTAGAGTTAAAGTGAGTTTCTTCTGAACAAAATTATTATCACTACATCACCCCACTAAGTGAAATTGCTATCAAGTGCTATTTAAATTTAGCACAATCTCAAGCAAACAAAAGCAATGCAGCACAATGCATATTTAAAACAAATCCTCAAAGGGCTAAGTTATCATCATTACTTTATTAGTTTGGTATTCCAAAATTGCTTTTCATTCATTTCTCAGTATTGGCTCATAAGTCTTGATTATATTAAAGTTACACATATATATTCATAGTATTTATTTTTATAATCTTTTTTGAGATAATGCAGCAAATGTTCATAAAAGAAACACTAGTGTTTCATTAAAAAACATGATTGTCCATGAAAATTCAGTTAGAAGGAAAAAAATTAAACTCAAGATATCAAACATATCTGACAGTTGTGTGAAATTTAAACATTAACTTACTTTCAGCATTATAGCAGAGACTCTTTAAGAAGGTAGCAAAGGGATTTACTGGAGAAATTTTTTTCTTTAGGAATGCGTATATATGCTTTGGCTTATATTGTTCTAAAGTTTTGAAATAAAAGAATATATTTGCTTTTCTCTTTTGACAAGGGAAAGGCCAATATCTTTGTATTTGATTAAGTATACATTCTAAGACCTAGAAAAAGAATGTAATATGAGTTTATTCATATCATACATCTTTGATGTGAGAGCATATAAAGTAATAAATTATGCAATATTATTTATATTATAAATGTGAAATTTTAGTAGAAAAGCTCAGAAGCATAAGCTCTGGAGTCTTATTGTTCTCACCTGTTTAAATGGAGATCTAAAAACAACCTTGTTGAGTCATTAGAAAAGCAAGCGACAAGATATTTGAATCTCCAGCCCATTCTAGGCCATTATGAACCAATAGAAATGGTGGCTTTAATTAATATGTAGCCCAGATCTCTGCCTTTGTACAAGACCCTGATGTAGAAAGTTTAAGTCAAGTCTTGTGAACTTAGTGTTGGACCCTTACCGCTATATCATGATTTATCTATGTTTCTTAATTACCTTAATTAACCTGGGCCTAGAAATACATTCTTTTTTTTCCTAGCTTATTGAAGTGGATACTTCTTAGAATAAGTACTTTTCTTATCTTCCTAGACAATTGCAAATCAGATTTCATGAGAGATCTAGACATTTGATATGAAGGCCATTTAAGTGATCTAATAAGTCTTGGGAGTCTACTTTGTACCTTTCCCTACACTGCATGGAATCATAGCTTGAATGGATTGTCATTGAGACTCATACTGCGTAAGGCTCTCAGCTGTGTAAATGACACTTTTTTTTTTTCCAGGTGATACCATTCTTTGTAATGTGACCTACCTTGGGAAGCCTGGCCCTCCAGGTTTTGATGGACCTCCAGGTATTATTATTATTGTTGTTGTTGTGATCAGGGAGAGGTTCCACATGATAGAAAAAAAAAATACTAAATCCTGAGAACCAGTCAGGGTATTTCTAGCATTGTTTTCAGGACTATGGGACTAGGGAAAAGCATGTTTATGGTATTTAGCAGCCAGAGTTCCAGTCTACTGGTATGAGCATGCTTTTCAAATCTCTGCAGAATAAAACTTGATCATTCATCAGCCATTCATCAGTCCATTGAGAAGCTGGAGCTCAGACCGTCTTTTTCTGTGTCCCAAGATGAATACCTGACCACCTGTTTATAAACTATAAATTTTACTCTCCTCTGCTTCCTAATGGGGCCAATGTCTGACCAGAATTTTCTGAAAGACCCTCCTACCTGAGTCCCTGAATGTACTTTCTCTCATCTGGTTCTTTCTGATCGATTTTTAATCTGACTCAAATTCCAAGTATCTATCTGCACATGCACTGGAACTTGAACTCAGGGCCTGATCCCTCTCCCTTAGCTTTTTCCCTCAAGTCTGATTCTATCCTATGAGCTCCAGTAGTCTCATGGGTTTTTCTGCTTTGCCTGGATTCCAACAACGATCCTCAAATCTCAGCCTCCTTAGTAGCTAGGATTACGGATGTGAGCCAGCAGAGCCTGGTTAGCACTTTTTTTTTTTTTTATTATGACCAAAGACATTTTATTTTTACCTACATAAGTTTTAAAGTAGAATACTTGAATGGAAAACATTTAGTGCCATCATGTCACCCCGAATGTCAGCATTTCCTCTCAACTTTCTAAACAGACAAAAAGTCCAAAAAAGTCCATAAAATGACTATGCCATCCATAGTCATTTGCTTGTATTATGATACTATACAAGCTACCAGTTTTGAAATCTCAATGCTGTAGGAAGACAAGCAGTTAGTTTCGCTTTTATAGTCTGTTAGATGGTGATGGTTGCTTAGTCTCTGGCCCTAGTCAGCAACTCAGGTTAGCAATCCACATTCCAGCATAGGGGCAATGGGTAACTTCCGTATATGACTGCAGAAATGCAAGAGGCTGGCACACCTGCACAGGCTTACTTCCCATCTCAGACTGATTCACAGCTGTTAATAGCTCACTGGCCAAATTGAGTCATACGACTGAGTCCTAGGTCAAAGAGCTGGAAGAGCCACAGGCAATGGTGAGAGAGTAGAAGCATACGTCCAAGTTAGCAGGAGAGCTGTTGGCTGACTCACTGAGTGTTCATTTCCATGGATCCCTTGTCATGCTTGAATGAAACATGTTTGACTGCTTTCAGCAGTTTTAGCTTCCACTGAATGTTCGCCTTAAGATGGTAGTTGTCCCGTCTTTGAAGTTCGCAGTCCAGACATTACTTTAGCCGAGATAACTCTTAGTAGAAACTCAGAGATTTAAAATAAAATCTTAGATTCTGCTGCTGGCATCTTCCCTCCTCTACGCTATGTAAGTGCAGATGCAGTAACACACAGACCTTCACTCTGGTGTTTTCTCTTTAGGCCAGACACTAGTCTGCATAAGACACAAAGATTTGTGTTTGATACCTGTCATACAAAAACACCAAGATAGATAGATTGATAGCTAGCTAGCTAACTAGATAGATGACATATAGATAAAATGATACATAGGACATATGCATAGATAGATACATAATGTAAGCATGCATAAGTCCACATATACATACATGCATACATGCATACATATATATATATATATAGACACATAGATATAGATACATAGATATAAATAAAGATATCCCAAAGGGTTTTAGGAAGTAATTTTTTAAAAAATTGGAGTCTATGACACTGGTTTACATTTTAAAAGTTATCATTTTAATTTCTGGATAAGTTTATATTTAGTAATCTGCTGTGAATGTATCTAACATGTTTTTGTCCTTCACAAAAGCACTCTGTGAAGCCTTGATTGGAAGCATAGGACTCACAGAATGCTTTTGTGATCCATGATAGCTAATATCTTAATGGTATAAAATATACATATCCTTAAAGGTACTTAGCACAAGCAGTGGCTTCCATGTGATCTGTGCTTCATCCGGTCTGTGTTGTGTTGCTCTTGTTTAGGTCTGAAGGGATTTCCTGGCCCCCCAGGTGCTCCTGGGCAGAGGTGTTTGGATGGACAGAAAGGCCAGCGGGGCAAGCCAGGAGCATCAAAAATACCAGGCCCACCTGGTAAACAAAGTATTTTTCTACTTTGGAAATTTCAAGCAGGAATTTTTAAATCGTTTTTTAAAAAATGAATGACTTTAAGGGAATAAGAGGCAACCTTAGCTAATGGGAAATAGCTCTTGATACATTAAACTTTTAAACCTGTGTTGTGACAATTTGAAGCTCACAATCATTTTATATCCTGCCACGATCCTTCCTCTTTACTTGTGAGTTATAGGCCAATACTAGTTCTTTGCTTGCTCAGTTCAGAATGCTCACAATATGAAGAAAAGAATTAGGGAAATATCGCTGACATAAGAAACGCACAATTACAATTCATTTCTCCATAAAGTGAACAAGAATACCTTTCCCTACTAAGCTTCTCTAAGTCTATAGAAATACATTTTTATTAAACATCTTTTAAGTAGTAAGTACATATTCCCGTGTTTCCTAGAGGTGAGATTTTTAGCAAAATAAGTCTTACATGTACTAGTTCTATCCTGTGCATTTAACAATTAAAATTGTTGTTGTTGCTGTTCAACAGGCTTACGTGGTAACATGGGAGACCCAGGGTTTGAAGGGGAGAAGGGGTCCTCTCCCCCTGGACCCCCAGGTCCTCCCGGCAGACGTGGAGTAGATGGTCAGAAAGGAATCCCAGGAGAGTCTGCATTTGGTCACCCAGGACCACCTGGAAATAGGGGTCTCCCAGGAGTGCCAGGGATGAAGGGAGCCAGAGGTCACCCAGGATGCCCAGGGGCTGAAGGTATGAGGATCTCAGCGATTCCTGCAGTCTAGGAAGCCTCCTTCAATTTGGAATAAGTCTCTGAATAATGCTTAGACTACCTCATCTTGGATAGACAAAATAAATGCCTCACCTTCATAGACAGGCACGATGACATGTCAAATAATTGCCTCCCCAATGCTGCCTTTGGATGTTATTGCTCATGTTCAAATGCAAGTCAGCACAGTATGTCTCCACCAGCTCAGTGGCATGCATCAATTCTGCATGTCAGCCCACCTTGGGTGTAGACCACTATGTTAGCTCCGAGAGCAGGGACCAAGCGCAGGGACCAGATAGCCACCTACTGTTAATGCTTGGTTGCCAGTATCAGGACAAGCAACTCAGAAGGCAGATCAGTGGAGGGGGAGATCAGGGGAAGCTCTGTGGGCTACAGACAGACTGCATTTAACAAGTGACAACATGAGGGGCTTTCCCTCCAGCAGGTAGAACAATGATGTACATGATGGCCTGGATACTGGTTCGCATCTTTTTCTGAAATTATTAAGACTTTTTCTAGAGTGGAGTTTCTCCAATTTTAATGAACATAAATATAACCCAGGGGTTGTCATTATGATGACCATCTTCAGGGCCCTAGCCTTTGAAATTCTGATCCTTTATATCTAGGCTTGATTCCAGCAGTCTGAACTTCCAGGAGTCCCTTGGGTGATGGTGGTCAAAGTGTGGGTCCCACACCAGACACTCTTTGGGCTTCTTCCCAACAGAGAATGGACCAGTTTCTTTAGGCAAGTTAGGAGAGCTGGTCCTTATCAATGTGGGTTTTCCTATCTTCTAACTCAACCAAACACCAATCAAAAATATTTAGAAGAAAAATGTATCTGTACTGACATGTATAGAATGTTTTGTTGTCATTATTCCAATAACAATACAGTACATCAGCTACGAACATCATATTAGGTATTACAAATGCTCTAGAGATGATTTCAAGAGAGTGTGCATGTGTTCTGTGCAAGTGCCACTCCATTTTAGAGAAGCGATGTTAGGTTCTGTGGATTTGAGCATCTGAAAGGAGAAAGCCATGGAACCAGACCCACACCCCCATTTAGTTGTACAGTCCAATCAGAGAGCATGAGGGGAATAAAGCCCCACCTTTACTTTAAGACAAGCAAACATGGTGTTTTTTTCATCAGCATAGTGAATACAAAGCCACAAGCAATTGAAAAGGTAACAAGAAAATATATGAATCAAGAAGGGACTTTTGACAGGTTACTACTGCTCCTGTATCTAATCTAGATAGGAAAACACCTTTGTTTTCTCTTCAGTTAAGGAAACCATTGGAAATAAGAGTTACACTCCAAGAAATACTTTTCAGCTACTAGCTGAAGGAACAGTGCAGTTGTAAATATTATAACAAATCAAAAGCATAAAAACTTAGCCAATTCCTACACATTATGAAGTAATCCAATGACCATAACTATGATTAGTATTTTTAATATAGAAACAAAACAACACATGATGGAAACAGAAAAGTAAAATTGGCTTTTAGGTTGAAGCCTGGGACTATAGTTGATTTATTTTTCTTTCTGAAGATTTATGACAATAGACAGAAATTTGAGAGTATACACGATAAAAATCTATAAAATGCAAATTCACACAATGCCCATCAAGTTTGTAAATGTTATATATTTGATGTAATAACCGTTGTAATGGTAGAAGCTAATTAGAAGCAGGAAAACCACGTGATTACTTGCCTGAATAATTTCTTCCTCATCTACGTGACCATACCACGCAACTCAACTGTGTGTTGGATCTCCAGGCATTTGGAGTTCACTAAATCAATGAGTAGAAAAATCCACTCATTTGAGTTGGGAACTTATTTGAGTCAGGATCAGACTGTCTGTTTCAGTACTGAGGTGTGTGAACAGTTTAGTATAGGCCATCTACACAGTTTTAACCCACACATATTGCAGATACTTTGTATTATTTCAGGAGCAGCTGGCGTTCCCGGCTCCCCAGGTCTCAAAGGCCCCAAAGGCAGAGAGGGAAGCCCTGGCTTCCCAGGTATTCCAGGCCCACCTGGCCAGTCCTGTAGAAAAGGCAGTGCGGGCATCCCAGGCCAGCCAGGGCTTCCTGGGGCTCCTGGTAGTCCAGGTAAGTGCCAACAGGTATAAAGAACTTGAAGGTGGGGCTGGGAAGTTGGCTCAGTGGTAGAGCGCTTGCCTTGCGTGCCTGAGGCCCTGGGTTCGATTCCTCAGCACCACATAAGCAAAAAGAAAAAAGCCGGAAGTGGCGCTCTGGCTCAAGTGGTAGAGCGCTAGCCTTGAGCTGAAGAGCTGAGGGACAGCACTCAGGCCCAGAGTTCAGGCCCCACAACCGGACCCCAAAAAAAATGAAAAATAAAAAATAATAATAAAAATAAGAACTTGAAGGTGTAAGTAGGGTATTTATCCTACTTATAAATTAATAAGCTCATCTCTTGTTCTTTTTGTAGATATTCATAGAATTATAAGTTGCAAGACAGAGGCAAAAGACTGTATTACCTCTATAGTTCATATTATTTTGTGTCATTTCTCCATGTCATCCTATATGTGGATGGCTAGATGCTATAGCCGCAGTGGTTTGCATTATTTGAGAGGAGCAGTAGACCTCGGCAGCGCTGCTTCATAGCAGTCTTCAAGCAAGCCTGAATATTGTATTGGGCAATGCGCTGTCACACCTTTCAAAGTTGTTTGCTGCAAACACAGCCTTGAGAAATAGGCCAGTTAGAGCCTCAGGATCTTGCATTTTTGACATAACCAGGAAGACATAAAAGAGTATAGAAGTCCTGTAAATGTCTATCTTCACATGAGGTGCTTAAGGGGTTAGTCCATCAAGGTTTTTGTATCAAAATGTATTAGGTTAGGTGATTTATGAACAGCATGCATTTATTTCTTGCAGTTCAGGAGGACATGACATCCAAGATCAAGGGACCAGAGGATTGAGTGTCTGGCAAGGAGCTGTTTGTCACAGATTCCATGCAGCATGTGCACAGCTCACAGTGCTCTTTAAAAGATCACGAACGAACGAATAGTATTCATGAGGGCTTTCTATGAGATTATTGACACACCTCATAGAATTTCCAGTATCTTAACACTGGGAAACATATAGATTCATTCGAGCAAACTTTTCTGGTGTCAAACCACAATCTTGTAAATCTCATCTTCCGAAATAGCTAGGATTATAGGTAGGAGCCACTGGCTGCCTTTCCTTTTATCCAAATGCAAGATGTGTACTTGAAAACTTGTAATAAGTTTAGGACCTAACTTGTCTCTACAGCCTAATCTAACACCAGTCATGATGATGATGTTGCTCTTTTTTTCACCCCTATCCATTTCCATTAAAAATAGAGTTGCTACTATTGTTTTAAGCCAATGAGTACTGTTTTGCTTTGGATGAACTAATTTGCATTTCTGGAGTCTCTGTGTCCTGCTGAGGTTTCAGTCCGCATATCTGGTTGTACCTCAGGTGCCCCAGGTTGGAAAGGCCAGAGAGGCGAAGCAGGGCCTTCTGGACCCACTGGAATGAAGGGCTTCCCTGGACCCCCGGGTCTGCCTGGAGCCGATGGGTTCCTAGGACCTCCAGGAATCCCAGGCCCCCTTGGGGAAGATGGGTTACCTGGTCTTCCAGGCCCAAAGGGTAAGTAGCACTTTGTCAGTATTGCTTTCCATTTTATGAATCAATGATCAAGAAAAGCCTGCTACTTAGGACCCCACTTGGAGCATGTGCCATTATGTTAGCTTGACTTTGTCTTCCCCTTACTGGTGCCTCCCTTTCCCTTATCTTCCTGTTGGTATTTTCAGTGGCAGAATATCTTGGTGGAGTTCAATGGTTGAAAGGTCCAGGGATGTTGAGTTCATGAGATCAGAGGTATTTCAGCTCAGAGGACTGTGAGACCCAATGGAGTCCTAGGTCAAGGGAATACATTTCACTTTGGCTGGGCCTCTAGCCTCCTGCTATGAAAACTTGATGGGATTAGAACCCCAGGTGTTAGGGTCTACATGTTGTACCCATAGGTAGAAAGCAGGACTGGGTGAGAGGGCAAAACCATTAGCAGCCATGATGAGTTTGACAACGACTGTCTACTTTCAGTGCAAGCCTAGAAGGTTGTGGGCCTTTGTAATTCTAAGTGAACCACAAGGAACACCTACGGAAGAACCGCACCAACCTCTCCAGCGTTTTCCTTAAACAATTAATGTTCTCATTTCACCAGGGCCCCGGGGCCTGCCTGGTTTCCCTGGATTTCCTGGGGAAAGAGGACTTCCAGGCCAAGAGGGTCTGCCTGGCAGAAAGGGAGAAATTGGACAGAAGGGCTGGCCTGGTTTTGGAGGAGACCAAGGAGTAAGAGGTGCCAAAGGTAAGCACATTTAACAACGCACACGGAAGTGGCGCTGTAGCTCAAGTGGTAGAGCACTCACCTTGAGCTGAAGAGCTGAAGGACAGCGCCCAGGCCCAGAGTTCAGGCCCCACGACCGACCAAAAAAAAAAAAAAAACCTTTCGGGGCTGGGAAGGTGGCTCAGTGGTAGAGCGCTTGCCTTGCATGCCTGAGGCCCTGGGTTCGATTCCTCAGCAGTACATAAGAAAAAAGCCGGAAGTGGCGCTGTGGCTCAAGTGGTAGAGCGCTAGCCTTGAGCTGAAGAGCTGAGGGACAGCGCCCAGGCCCAGAGTTCAGGCCCACGACCGGACCCAAAAAAAAAAAATGGAAGTGCTGTGACTGTCAATTTCCATGTTCCGTGTCATCTCTACTTCAATATTTCTAGTGTTGAGAGTAATGTTTGACAATTCTTAGAAAGGAAGTTTTTGTCCATAAAGCTTCTCAGTTTAACTCAAATGACTTTTTCTTCTTTAGTGATTTGTTCTTCCATTATTTCTTTCTTTGTTAGTTTATACATTTTTTTATGTAGAATGGAGGAATCAAAAAAATCGCTCTTTGCTACCTTAAATTAGTGATGTTTGCTGTGTGTTTAGATGATTATACAATTTTTTCCACCAAGAATTAAAAATTGTATTAATGTCAGCGATATAGTTGCATTCACTCTTTGAATATTATTATTATTACTATTACTATTACTGTTATTATTATTTTGGCAGTGCTGAGATTTAAACCCAGAGCTTCATGTTTGCAAGAAAGGCAATCACCACCTAGCCACAACTTCAACCTAATTTTTTTAAATTAATTTATTGTTATTGTACACGTGATGTACCAAAGGGTTATGGTACATAAATTATAAAGAATAGATCTTTTTGCACAGTGTCACCCCTTCCCTTGCTCTCTCCCAGTGTTTCCCTCCCATCCCCACCCATGAGTTGTATAGTTTTCAACACAGTGTCTAGTATCCTTACCACATTTGTCCAACCTTTGTCCCACCAATTCTGTGCCTCTGTTACCCTCCCAAAGGGGTAAAAGAAAAAAATACACTAGGACATGATAAACTATACAGGTCTCTAGGAATTCACAGTGAGACCAAAGGAGAATGTTCTTAGGATAAGACCACATAGGTACAATAGCTATGAGAATAGAGATGTCTTCCAATGGGGAAGATATGAGTCTAGTCATTGGAGATGGGACGTTCAAATCCTACATGATAAGCTGTAATGTAGACTGGATTTTCCCATGCAACTTAACTCACCAAAGACCCTGAGACCCATTTGGCTGACTGCAGCAAGCCTTCACTGAGCACTCATAGTGGACCAGCCCCCAAATCATCCCAAAGTCAGACTAGCAGGAACAACAGTGTCAAAGGGGCAGAGCTTCCTTTGGGCATTAGTTAGCTGATAACTCACCATGCATTCTCAGGCATACAGTTGAGCAGGTTGAAAGGGGATTTGTAAGTGGGAATGCGACATGGTAACCGATGACTTGCGTGGGTAATATGTGTGTTTGTTTTTCCCTTGTATAATGAATACCTACAGGAACAAGAGGACCTCCTGGAGCTGCAGGAGAAATGGCCATCTTTTTAAAAAAGGGGAAGGCTGGGGAACCAGGACCTCCTGGAGAGAATGGGTTCCCAGGAGCGAGAGGTAAAGATGGGAGATTTTTATCTTCCCCAGATAAAATGAGTTCTGTAGAAAACATTCCAGCAGTGGTGTAGATCAGACATGCTGCCCACTTACAGGGAATTAGGAAAGATGAAAGATCATTTCTCAACTCAATTTGATGCTGAATGAAGTTGGTGATGACCTTTTTGCATTTCTGTGTTTACTTAGCTGAAAACTATGTTTGTCGATGGGAGTTCTAGGCCTGAGGACTCATTCCAGGGTTTTGGCCTCTCATGTCTGCTCACTTGCCGTAATGGTCAAATACAGTAGTGCTAAAGGACAGAGAAAGATGACTTTTTATTTTTTAATGTAGCATAGGGCATGCTGTAGGGAGAGACAGAGGCTTTCAGCCCATCCCTGGGGTCTAGGTTCAAATAGAGAGGGAATGGGGCTGGGATGAGTAGTAGTTACTCAATGGGTAGTAACTCAAGAGTCCCATGACAGCCTTGGTCTGGTCGATCATCTCAGTGCTGTCAAGTGGCACCTGGTCACTATGAGAAAGGCATTGTGGTCTGCGGGGAGCAGTTTTGACTCTTGACACAAGATGTTATCAGTGAATCCTGTCCTTCCTGGATTCCACGCTGGCTGCAAGGTGACTGCAGGGGAAAATGGCTCAGAACACAGGGCAGCAGTACAAAGTAGAGGTTGTGGTGCTGAACTAAAGTTCCCTTTAACCATTTGCAGGCTGAAGTGGTAACTCAGCTTCTAACTGCCTGGGAAGGAAGGAAGGGAGGGAGGGAGGGAGGGAGGGAGGGAGGGAGGAAGGGAGAGGGGAGGGAGGGAGGGAGGGAGAGGGGAGGGAGGGAGGGGGAGGGAGGGAAAGAAAGGAAATTTTGAGTTTGTCAAGCTGAGATTAATCTGAGATTTATCTGATATACTGGTTCTGGGCTTGTGTTTGAGATAATTGGTCTTGAAGGGAATAGTACACTGTCTGCCTGAGCATTTTGACCAGTACTATTCAAACCTCGATGAGTGTGAATCACTTTGAGATCATGTCCACATGCCAGTTCTAAATCTGCACATACAAGGCAGCCAAGTCTTTTGAACTCGTACCCCTATGGCATCCTGTTGGTTCTCAAAAGAACCCCATGCCAACGACTTTGACATTCTTGCTCCAGTTCAGGTGTCATCTGTGCAAGGCCTGGGTGCTTGGGCTGGCCTTCGCTTTAATTAGCTTTTAGGGAGAGATATTTTTATTTTCCTGTAGTTAATCCTCTGGCCTAGAACTCTCCATTACAAACAGTGAACGTTGGCAATAGGTAAGATGAACATGCTGGAACATGTTCCCTCTTTCATCGGATGGCTCTGAGTCCATTCTTAGGCCACATATTTCATAGTGAGGTCATCAGAACTAGAAATGATCGAGATGTGGCTTAGCAAAAGCTCCACTATTCCACATGCCTTTGGCTTCCTCTTTTGAACATTGGACCAAGCCTTCCACTATAACCATTGCCTAGCCCAAGATTCAGCCAAGAGTCTTGTAACACTTGCAACTTCATCAGGTGATAAAGGAAGTGCCGGGCTGCCAGGGAGAAGAGGAGAGCCGGGACAACACGGACCACCTGGCCTTCACAGAGGGGAGCCTGGGAAGAATGGAGAGCCTGGACTCCCTGGACCCCCCGGCCCTCCGGGCTTACCTGGGCTCAGAGGGGTCATTGGTTTCCCAGGATTACCCGGGGACCAGGTAAGGGGCTGCTATTGCACGAGGGAAGAGAAGTAATCCTTTCCCTTTATGCTGTCAGTGTCTCGGGAGGAGTTATGATTTGCCAGAGTACATATCACTGTCCTGTACTGATCGCTGGAAAGTGAAGGAGTGCATAAAGAAAAAATAGAACCCTCTGGAAGAACATAATATAAATGAAATTTCCAACCAGTGCTCATGACTGGCTCCTGTAATGTGGCTAAACAAGTCACATTGTCTGCATAAGCCTGCACAGTTTTTCCATCACACCATAAAAATTAGTCACATGACCAGTGGTTTACTGGAAGTGGGGGTGGGGAATGTCATCCTTAAAAAATAAAATAAAATAACAACACTCCAATTCTGGATTCTAAGCTTTCCCATCTAATTCAAAACACTGTAGATTTTTGTTGTAAGTTTATTTCCCCTTCATAATCATGAGTTGCATAGCTCTTAAAAGGAAATATAATAGATGTAGTAGCTTCATCATACTCCTAAAAATGCATAACAAAATTAACTATATATCTTTTGGGATGAGATCGGTTTTTAAAGTTTGTGATATGACTTTTATAATACTTTATTTAGTATCAAGTCATTTGCTTGAAACTTAAAATTCAAGATATATATCTACATATCCATATATCTACATATATGGATATATATATATATATATATATATATATATATATATATATTTATAGATCTGAGGATCATGGCTCAAAGGCAGCCCAGGCAGTAAAGTCTGTGGGACTCTTATCTCCAGTTAACCACCAGAAAACTAGAAGTAGCACTGTGGCTCAAAGTGGTAGAATGCTAGGCTTGAGCTGAAGAGCTCAAGGACAGCTCCCAGGCCCAGAGTTCAAGTCCCACAACTGACAAAAAGAAAAGGAATATCTGTTGGCATTGGTAGCTCTTTTTCTAGGGGAGTTTTATCAAATTTTAAAAGCTAAACACATTTCTTTACCATTGTAAGTTCCATAAGCCAGTTACTTGCACAAAGGTGTAAGTGGGTAGCTTGAGTTCTGCATAGGAAACACAAAGCCTCACTTCTGTTCCATTAAATCATCAGGGTGAACCAGGTTTCCCAGGCCCACGTGGATTCTCAGGAAATGATGGAGGAAGAGGACCCAAAGGTACAGAAGACAAATTCATCTCAAATGTCTAGTCCTGGGTGCTTGTAACATTGTGAATAGGCAACTTTTGAATAACGAACAAAGGGTATCAAACACAATGGAACATACAAGGGACTCTGTGTGTGTGTGCGTGTGTGTGTGTGTGTGTGTGTGTGTGTGTGTATGTTTGTGTGTGCCTGTATTGGGGGCTTATACTCAGGACCTCATCTTTTCACTTGGCTTTCCCAATCAAAGCTGGCTCTCTACCACTTGAACCACACCTTCACTTCTGGCTTTTTGATAATTAGTTGGAGATACGAATATCTCCCATCTGTATCTCATAGACTTCCCTGCACAGTCTAGACTGTACTGCAATCCTCAGATCTCAGCATTCTGAATAGCGAGGATTTTAAGTGTGACCCACCAGTACCCAGCCGGACTCTTCTTAAGAAGACTCTATGGGATAATAAAAAAACACCCAAGACCCGAAGGATACTCTTCTGTCACTCAGCTTCAAAGGATCCATACAGGAAACAGCATGCTGCAGGTTCATTGGGTCAATCCACCCACTGGGAGGGTAGTATCCATTGACATCCACAGCCACTCACATGACAATGTAGGTTCGAGACCAGACCCACTCCCATGAGCAGTGTCCCACAGGAAATCCCAAGTCCCATTGAAGCCAGGTTCTCTTTTGAGAACTGTGTACACTAAGCTGATAGGGAGAATCATGCAGTTAGAGGAATCATGGCCAAAGCCATCAACTCCCACTAGGTGTTCACAGTTTACTTAAGAATTTCTGAGTCAGTGGAAATTTGTAATTGCGATTGCAAATTGTAATAGCAATTTCTGTTTTCTTCAAAGGGCTGGATCATAAAAATGTTCAGGTTTGTGGGCATATGGCTCATTCACAACTACATAACTGTGCTTTTGTAATATAAAAGCAGCCATAGACATTATATGAACGTAAAGGAGAGGGTATGTTCCAATAAAACTTTATTTATAAAACAGACTGACCAGTAGATTTGACTCCCCTGGCCTTCACTTATCTTGTGCCCCCCAAATTTTTGCCTTGTAAACACAACAGGCATTCTACCCTTAACAGATATTCAGGGAAACTGAAATAGAAAGTTGAATCAAGATTTAAAATTGTCCTTAGAGAAGGAGAGATCTTATTAACTCTTTATTCAAACTGCAATCAGGATATCTTTTTTAAAATTATTATTGGAGGTAAGAGTCTCACAGATTTTCCTGCCGGGACTGGCTTTGAACCAAGATCCTCAGATCTCAGCCTCCTGAGTAGCTAGGATTACAGGTGTGAGCCACCAGCACCCAATTGTTCTCTCTCTCTCTCTCTTTTTTTTTTTTTGGTGAAAATACCATACAGAGGTGTTACAATTACATGGGCAAGATAATGAGTACATTTCTTATCAAGCATTGTAGCCTCCTCCTTTGTTTCCCCTTCCCATCCCATCCTCCCCCCACACCCAATCCTCACACCCTTCCCCCCCCACCCCCCACCCCTCGCCCTGCACCAAAGTTGTAAAGTTCATTTTCGACGTAACGACTTGTACATCTCATTGTTGCAATGGGCAATCAGGATATCTTGACTTATCTTTTTCCTTTCTTTCTTACTTTCCTTTTTTTTTTTTCTGTGCTGGCCCTAGGGCTTAAACTCAGTGCCTGGGTGCTGTCTCTGAGCTTTTTCACCCAAGGCTACTGCTCTACCACTTGAACCACAGAACAATTTCTGGCGTTTTTGGTGGTTAATTGGACATAAGAGTCTCATGGCCTTTCCTGCCTTGGCTGGCTCCAAACTGAGATCCTCAACTCCTCAGATCTCAGCCTCCTTAGTAGCTAGGATTACAGACATGAGCCACAATGCCTGGCAGGATATCTTAAATTACAGTGTTTGTATAGGACCTTGAATAGGTCCTCTATCTTGATATATCACTGGGTTTCTTTAAATCTACTTGAAAATTACTCATCTTCCTTACTTTCGACTTCACCTCACTTACTGTGAATTCACAGGTATGATATTCAGTTACAGATTACTTTAATAGAAATGAAAATAACTAACTTTAAAATATAAATTCCTAATGGATGAGCCACAGGAAATATACCACTAATGGTAAATCCTTTATGAAACACACTCAGTAAATAACAAAACTGCTATATGAAAATGTGAACTGTGCACGGCCATTGATTCAACAAGAATAATCTAGTTCTATGATTACAAAGAGTGAGAATTTCAAATTTAGTTTTTGATATCTTGTGATTCAGAACTCATTCATCTTCTAAATTCATATGGATTTATTATCATCCCTTTCTTTGTTCATAGTTAAAAAATACTTTCCTTCATGCTTATATTGGCCTATGCTTACAGGAAGCCAAAATGTACTCAGAATACTTGAAATCGGAGCTATTTTTCATGGATCCACCAAATCAGAGTTAAGAGTTCTTCTAGACAGTGAGGCTGAAGAAATGTAGCCATTAGCAACCTGTGCTTTTGTGCTTCTCTCCACAATCTGGTTTTCACTTACTGATCTATCACCTGGCTTTGTCAGTTTCTAGTATCCCTTTCTTGTGTATTTTGGGATAAGTATGGGTTATCACCAACATGTTCTTCATCAGAGCAAACCATAACCATCCAACAACCAAGGATCTCACCTTCTTGTTTCTTGAAATTACAACTTCTTTGAGAAGGACTGGCTAACTGGAGAAGAACCAGATTCCTACCCCAATGAGCAATTAGCTGTGATGCTCAGTAGGACCAGAGTGGCAGCACGCAGGCATAAGGCATGCTATCATGTTAGTAGGCAGATACTATAAAACATACCTCAATTACCCCTCTTCCCTCATAACCCCATCTATTGCTTTGCCCTTCCCTCCCACTCTACCTTGAGCCCTCTATGTTACTAGAAACAACATAAGTCTTTGTATCTTGTTGAGCAGCCCTGTGAGACTAGGTCCACGTTGCCCATTGGTCAAATCTTCAAGAAAGGATGCCTTTGTGATTTTATTTTTACAAGGACACTGGGCTGGCTGAGCTTTCTTGTGAGAGATCTTGAAATGAAATCGCAGGAGGGGAAGGGAAATGATTTCCACTTTCTGTCTGTAAAACAAACAGAAAGAGAGAATTGATTAATGCCTGGTAATTTCTTAAAAAGCAACCTAAATTTGAAACCTAGTAAGGGACTTTAAGCATACAAGCTTACTAAGATTTGTAGATTGTTGGGAACTGTGGAATTGTTCTATGTGGCATTTAAATCACATCTTGTATTCATATTACCATTTGTTCTTATTAAGAAAAAAAAGTCATCAAAAAATGTCTCCCCTTGAGTACTTGAAATTTCTAAAGACAAATACCATGGGGATTTTCCAGACATGTATATGAGACCAAATAAATAACATCCTTTGTATTTTGTCACTCGCAGGAATCAAAGGTGACCCTGCCAGTCTGTATGGTCTACCAGGGCCAAAGGGCAAGCCTGGCAGCCTTGGATGTCCAGGTATGGCTACAAATGTGTCTGTTTAAAACAAAAAAAAGAGCTTGAATGAAGAACTTACTTTCCCCACCCCCGCTCTGACTAGTGGTGATTGTACTAACCCCAATGAGGTTTGCATGGAAAGGATCTCGTGGGAGGCTCAGTACTGGGTGGGCTGGAGGCCTTCCACCACCGGTCACCTGACTAATGACATTTACACAGCAATCCATTCGCCTTGGCCTTCCCACATCATCCTAAAATCAAAAGTGAATACTGACTTTTAAAAAAAATGATCTCTATCATTTTAGGTGGCCACAGGTTATCCTGGAAACCCTTTCTCTCCCAATGAGTAGAGAAGAACCAACTCCAGAATGGCTTGTTTTAGAATATTCTAGAACTGCTGAGCTATTCTCTTTCACTAGACACTGCCATGGGAAGGGGGTTGGCTTAGATATTTGGGTTTTTTGGTTTTTGGGGGTTTTTTTTGCTGCTGTTATTTCTTTTTTGTGGACATGTCCACTACACGCAATGTACAATTCTGGCATAGAATGTGGTGTGGATAAATGAACTGTGATTACGGGGATCATAGGGAAATACAAGTATGGGATGAATCTAAGGTGAGCTTAAGGAGTGTTATTAGGGTTTCTTGGCTACAAAAATGTTAATTTGGCAGTGTGGGAAAATGTTATTCTTTTTCAGGCTCACTTCCTAAAGTATCTAGGGATAGAAATCTATGAAAGCTATGATTTCCTTTAAAATACTTCATCATTTAACAATGTATTTGTAAAGAGCCAAAATATCACCCTCTCCATCTAGAAATTCTACTGCCAGGAATTTTTCCTAAGGAAATAATTTAATAGGGAAAGAATTGATTAAAGCTGTATAAAGAACATTATGTGTAATAGTAAAAGGAGTTAAAAATAACTTGAACGGCCAATGTAGGGGAAATTCGATTATTTAATTTAATTGAGATTGAATCAGTAAAATAGAATCCAGTCATTTTAAAATTGATACACTGTGGCAAACTTAAAAAACAATTCTTATGATACAACACTAATTTTAGAATTAGAAAATAAAATCATGCGTATTATTTGCACATGTGCATTCAAATAGAAAACTAGATTAAGGGCATTTTGTTTGCCAGATTTTTTCCCGATATACTTCCTTTGCAATGGGAAAATACAAGAGTTAGGGTAGAAAAGTATAGCACGTGCCGGGTGCCAGTGGCTCACACCTGTGATCCTAGCTACTCAGGAGGCTGAGAGCTGAGGATTGCTGTTCAAAGCCATCCTGGCAGGAAAAGTCTGTGAGAGTCTTATCTCCAATAAACTACCAACATGCCAAAAGTGTGGTTCAACTGGTAGAGTGCTAGCTTTTGAGCAAAAGAAGCTCAGGGCAGCACCCAGGCCCTGAGTTCAAGCCCTAGGACCAGCACGCACACACATAAAAAAAGTATGATCAGAAGCTCAAACAGGCATCCCACAGCTACTTAGACGAGGGCCATTCCTTCTTTAGGACATGTTGGAGCCCCAGGAGAGCGAGGACTGCCTGGAGATCAAGGGCCGAGAGGACCCCCTGGAAGACCAGGACCACCTGGCTCCATGGGACCCCCAGGGTGTCCAGGTAAAGTCAGGAAACCTGATGCATTCCCTTAAACCTGCTTTGAGATGGGCTGCTTTGTTTCCTACCCCTGTGCCTTTGGACCAGTCACTTAAATGTCCTCCCCATTCTTCCTTGTATTAAGTTAGTTGTAGGTAAGTGCTTGCCCCAATATCGGGGAGTAAAGTAAGACAATTCCCCTAACATTCCAACATGGTGTCAAGCGTCCTTCTTCCCTGTTACCCTCAGGTGAACAGGGGCTGCCTGGGCTGGAGGGCCAACCAGGAGACATGGGAGACCTTGGGCCTAGAGGTCTCCCAGGGAACCCCGGCATTCCAGGTCCTCCAGGAGTGAAAGGTAAGTTGGAAGGCGCCCAGCCTCTCAGAATGATAGTGCCCAGCGCAATGACAGTAACTTCACAGGGCTTTCCTGAGCTGGTAGCTGTGCTCCGGGTCATGACACTCTGTCCTGGATGCCAACAACTTCTTCCTAACTGCCCTACCCAGAGCTTCAGACAGTGCCCACATAAGCATTGATTGACCTGATTCAAGACTGAACTACCTTTTACTGGTGAAGATGCAGGATACTCTCTGTCTACCTCATTTCTCAGCACATCTAGCCAATGTTGTTGTTGTTGTTTTTAACGAGGTCAGGTCTATCTATTTATTCTCTAAAGAGATAGTCTTAACTCTTTCACGTCCTAGATTCTGGGTTAGAAGCCGGGAATATAATCTTGAAGAAAAATAGACATATATCCTGCCTTCATGGAGCTCACTTTCTAGCAAAAGAGATAGACATTGAAGAAATATATGTAAATAAAGATATATTTCCCTATTGTGATAGCTGCGGAGCGGATGAGAGGAAAGGACAAGGTATTATGGAGAAAGAGTAGCGAGTATTCATTATCATTGTTCCAGAAGCCAACTTCATGCATGCATTCTTTGGATCTTAAAGGTCATAGAGGAGTGGTCATAAGTGAATATAATATGCTACAATACAATATGGTTGTTATGGTCACATTCATCTATGATATCTAGCTTCCTTCAGTTCATTTCTCTTATTTTGGAAAAATAATGCCTTTTCCATGAAAATTTTCTCTATATCTCTAGCATAATACCTACCCTGTATCACATATGTTTGCTGAGAGACTCTTCTTACCAAATAGAATAGGATTTTTTTTTTTAAAGTAGGATCTTTTTAATATGATTGGTACCTTGTAAATATACAATGAGTATTTTGGGTGTCAGGATAAACAAATGAATGAATGTATAATAAACTAATAACTTAAATAAATACTCAAATTATTGTACTACAGAGTCACTAGTTGATGGTCAAGGCCTACATCTCAGCCAATAGTTGAAGGTTCCAGCTTACTTGGTAGGTCTCTGTAGCCAAGTTCCCTTCATTTATTTCCTGTTATTCCCTCTTCTCTTGCCCTCTACTCATTGACATATATATGTGTATGTCATATACATTTATGTGACAAACACACATATATGTCAATCATATATATGTCATACACACATATGTATATATATGTATATACATACCAAATGTGGATAAAATGAAATGATCTCTTCTCAGAACTAGAAACTACTAAATCATGTTATTGTTTGCAAGATCCAAATTCTATTTTTCCCTCTTCTCCTCTCATTGACAGCCTTCAAACATTTCCAGTATTTTAGCAAGTGTAAAATGACTTGTATTCCTCAGTGTAATTCTACAGAGTTAAGGTATTTACTTTGAAGAGTCAGTACTCATGGATTTCTACACAATTAAATAGTATCATGGGAAAAGTTTCCATAACAGAACACAATAGCTGAATACTGTTCTCCTTCTGCATTGAAGATTTTTTGTTTTGTTTTGTTTTTTGTTTAGCAATGTGAAGAACAGCTACTCATAATGATTTCAGACTATCAAACAAAACAATCATTCTGCTATTTACACCTTTTCCTTCTGGTGATTGTGGCCATTTCCTGTTTCTGGAAAGTCATGCATTCTCTGGGACTATTTTTTGACATCCTTTTGTGTCTGGAAGGAGTTGGTAACAAAACAAAAGAAAGCATTTTCTGTTACTAACTCCTTCTAATGTCTTTCCACTTCTCAGCCTTCCAGTTTAGTAGAAGAGCAAGGACTTAGAATACTAAAGACTTCTGAGTATCTTAGTGCCACAGTACAATCTTACTTTGACCCAAATGACAAGGCTCAGGTAACTATTAGTGATTCAGCTCCTTTCCCTTGAGCTTGCATTTATTTATTTACTTACTTATTTATTTTATTGTACCCTTTCTGGGGCTTGAACTCAGGAGCTGGGCATTATCCTGAGGATTATGTTTTTGTTTTTGTTTTGTTTTTAATCAGAGATAAGAGTCTCATACTTTCCTGCTCAGGCTGGCTTTGAACCATGATCCTCAGATTTTATCCTTCTGAGTAGCAAGGGTTACAGGCATGAGCCACCAGTGCCCTACTTAGGTTTGTATTTACCACTTCACTTCAGTATGATATTACTAACAGAAATGAGTAGCTAAGAATTGGTTCTATAAATGACTTGAAAAGTAATCACTATCTACATTACAATTCTGTGCAATGAAATAATTTGTTAAAAAGAGACAGGGAGGAGGTAAAGAATCAACCCCGCACAATTTCATAGCAGGTAGAGACGGGCATTATAGTAACACCTTCTGACCACATAGTGGCAGTATTTCACTGTAGACAGCCCAGTGGACGTTCAGGCTTCACAGACCAGAACAAAACCAAACAGTGGAAAAAAGACATTCCTAAAATAAAAATACCTACCTACAGTATAAACTCATTGTTGCAGTATATCATGCTGATAGTAAAGTGAACAATACCCCAGCAGGAACACTTTGAACTAAGAAACTAAATATTTGAAGTATGTTCTAAATAAGTCAAGGGGACTGATTATCTTGTTTGCACAAACCAGCTGCTGAAATCAAAAAGTTGTTTGCTCTGTGAGAACAGGCCATATGGTTTTTTGGAGTACTGCTTGTGCTCACTCAGATTTAAACTTTAACTTGGACATATGCTAAAAGTGGCTTGATTCCGAGATTTTAAAATACGTATGCCCTCCAGAAGAACAGCATCCAATTCTTAGTTGGGTGTCTATTCAAGGTTGGAGTGATGGATACCTAGAGTCAACTAGCTGTCTAGAATGTACACTGGGGGTTTTAGGTCATGACAAGGAAACAATTTTACTTAAAGAAAATGCTTTGAGCTGGGTGCCAGTGGCTCCCACCTGTAATTCTAGCTACTCAGGAGGCTGAGATCTGAGGATCGAGGTTCAAAGCCAGCCTGGGCAGGAAAGTCTATGAGACTCTTATCTCCATTAAAACACTCAAAAAACCAGAAGTGGCACTGTGGCTCAAGTGGTAGAGTGCTAGCCTTGAGCTGAAGAGCTGAGGGACAGCGCTCAGGCCTAGACTTCAAGCCCTCACAACTGACAAAGGAAAAGAAAAGAAAAGAAAGTGCTTTGAGTTGTCTTTTACTAGGAAATAAATGCCATGTGCCTTAGAGATGTGAAAACCACAGAAATGTTCTGTCCTTTTTTTTTTTTTTGGTTGGCTGTGGAGCCTAACCTCTAGGCCTGGGTGCTGTCCCTCAGCATTTTAGCTCAAGGCTAGCGCTCTACCACTTGAGCCACAGCGGCACTTCTGGTTTTTTCTGCTTATGTGGTGCTGAGGAATCGAACCCAGGGCCTCATGCATGCGAGGCGAGCGCTCTACCACTGAGCCACCTTCCCAGCCCCATATTCCATGAGTAGTTTCTTCACCTCCTCCCTTCCTTCCTCTTCCTCATCACTTCCCAAATTTGATGTCATTATTCTGACACATCAAAGATTATTTCTGGTTAGCTCCTTATCACAAAATACATCTCAGAACTCTAGGGAACCATGTCTTAGTTCATTCATGTGTTTGCTGCACTTTAAAAAAATTAGATCATACTTAAGAATCATTTTTGATGATTTTCAAACATTTCCTCTAAGTCACAAAAGATCTACCGTTTCTACCTACCTTAAAGCTGAGGTGACCAGCTAAGTCTGAAGGACTGTCTTAGGATAGAGAACTTCCAGTGTGAAAACCCAAGGAAAGTCCCAGCCAATAGGGTTATGTTGGTGAGTCCATTAAAAGTGTAAAGCTGTGTACCTTTCCTGGGGTACAGGGTAGCATTTCAGGTTTCAGATTTAAAACAAATACACTCTGAGAATAGGAATCTAGTCACAGAAAGTGGGCTGCCCACACAGATAGACGGCACAAGTGTCCCGGGGCAGCGTAGAGGAAGAGCAGGCTGGTCTGCGCGTGCAGAGCCACGCAGCCACACATGATGGCCGTGAACCAGAAGGCTGATCAGAGAGGTGAATAAAAATTCCTCATTACCCAGGAATGTGCTTTGTTAGCCTAATTGCCTCTCATCTGCACTGTATATATTTTATGCATGAACAACTTTCTGATTTAGAGATGGGATTGATAAAAGCTTTCAGTAAAAGGAAAAATTACCCTTAAAACCCTCCCCAGATGTAGCTGCATTCAATTTAGAAAGATAACATTGGGTCAGAGAAGGGTCGGCCAGTTCAACAATGGCAAGGGGCTGGGCCCTGACAGTCCAGGATCTGGATGTGTTGATGTGACAATGGGTGAGCTGGCAGAGGCTGGGACATTCCTCCCTCAGCCAAGTCCCCAAGCCATCCATCTTGTCAGGTCACGCTGGAGATCAAAACACATGGAAAGAGCAGAGTAGTCTCAAAATTTTATTATCATTTCAGATAGATTGCAATAAATATCCAGATTTGGCAGCTGAAGAAGGTCCCCGTGTTCTTTTGGTGCACACTTGAAAGATTGGCTCATAAAATAGGCAAAGAGGACTGGAAAATAAGTGAAGCCAGAACTGTTTTTTTTTTTTTTTTTTAAATAGTGGTTAGGAAACAAGAGATTTAGAGAAAATAAGGATTTATTCCCATTTTTGTTTCCAAGTGCAAGAGCATATGGCTCCTTTGAAATGACCTAAAGTTACGCTTTTAAAAAGAAGGTAACAATTGTCTCTTTAAAATGTTGGCGATAAATAGAAGGGAACCACCTAACTCTACCAGCTTCCTAGATGTACACAGAGGGTCTGATTTAATGCCCAGAGAATATTTAGCACTTGAATAATTTATATATAAGTGGAGTCCTTCAAATTCTCTAAATTGTATTTGCCATATATATATATATATATATATATATATATATATAATTTTTTTAATTGTGGCTGAGCACCAGTGGCTCATACCTGTAATCCTTGCTACTTAGGAGGCTGAAGTCTGAGGCCTGTAGTTTGAAACCAGCCTAGGTAAAAAAAAAAAAATCATGAGACTCTTATCCCACATGAACCATCAAAAAGCCAGCCATGGATCTGTGGCTCAAGTGGTATTACACTAGCTTTGAGGAAAAAACGAAAAAGATAAAAATCTCAAGACCACGGCCTAGTTCTTGAATTCAAGCCCCAAGACCAGCATGAAACCAAACAAAAAGGTTGTGGTATGCACACAAATTATAATTCACTCTTTTTAAGAATTAGATTTCTCTCTACCTGTTTGGTGCCTGGCCCTCCTTGTCTACCCTTTCCCATTTACTTCTTCAATAGGTAACCACGCACTGAACATCTACTATTACTATGTACCAGCAAGCACACTGAGCCTGGGGCTAGAAGACCCACGGGACTAGGTCTTGTTCTCTGATGTATGAGTAAGGGAGACAGCTGGCTAAGGGTAGGGTTGTTTACAGCACAGCACAGGTATGGTTGGTCCATGGAATCCTGTGTAGGTACCTTTGGTATAGCGAGGGACACTTGATGTAGGTCTGGTCATATAAGCTGAAAGTTGTCTCGAATGTTAAAAATTTGAAGCTGAACTGAGTGAATGTCTGACTATGTATCAAGAACCTTCTGTCTTGAGTGAGAAAGAATAGCTCCTTTTGCAGCATCCAGAAATGGAACAGTCACCAGACTTGACCAGAGAGGTATGGAGAGGAGCTTTCTTTCCTGAATCCCTCAGTGGAGGGATGGGTGGAGAAGATGGGTGGAGAAGATGGGTGGGGTACCATGTGACTGGGATCAGGAGGAGCCCCAACATATTCGTTTTCCATTCCTCCCTTATTTCCATCCTCTTCCCTCCTTCCATCTTCCTCTGAGTTGATGCTTGCCAGTTAGAAAACTCTCCTTTGAAAAAGTGAACTACAACACAAAGTCCAACAGTGGAAAGCCCTAAAAGAAAAGTTTCAAGTGGAAGTGGTCAGTGACAACTTGATTCTCAAAGACAGAGGCGTCCATGGGATAACTAATGTCTGCTTACAGAGTCTGGAGCTTGAATTCAGTGATCAACATAATATCAGGTCAATTGTTTTCAAAAGGTATCAGAATGGTTCAGAACAAAGGTGTTGGGAAAAAAATACCTGCGGTTGAATTGACCTTGCAGACCTATTTTCCCAGGTAACAGGGTGCTTAAAATAGAGACAGGGAGGACAGGTAGTCCTCAGGATGCAATGGCTGTCCTGTTGTCTTACTGTGTTGACATGGAAAGAACTGGAAGAAGTTAAGACCCACAGACCCTGGTGGGAGAAAAGACCCACCTGGATGGGAGGAGATCGGATTTGCTCCCACCTGAACTCTTCTCCTCATCTCCAGTGATTTCATTATCATCAAATCAAAGGTCACTTCCTGCAAGAGGCAGTGATTCTAGACTGTATCTGGGCATGAGATCCCCAGTAAGACGTTCAGGTGACAGAATGTGTCTACCATTGCCTTTGGTGTACCCTCTGGTTTGGATCTGTGGCCAGAGTAGAAATCAGCCATCAGTGGCTTCTCTGGTCTTGGTGACACAGGCCTGTGGTGTGTTTCAGGTCCTGCTGGGTCTCCTGGCCTGAATGGCTTACATGGTTTGAAGGGTGAAAAAGGAAGCAAAGGTGCTTCAGGTAAGATCAAACCATTCGCGAAGGAATCAGCTTTATTTCAGAAGACCCTGAGATAAAGTAGTGCACTCTCCTCCTATTTCTTCTCTGCATAGGACTTGAGAGTAAAACTGAAAAAAAAAAAAAAAAAAAAAAACAACCAATTTAATCTACAGACACAGTATTGCAATTATCTCTAGCACTGCTAATCGTTTACATATAAAGGATGCTAAGCAAATAAAAAAGAAGAAATGATTGGCTCACAGTATGTTTGGTTGGTTTTGAGACAGGCTCTGTGCTAAAAACACTAAGAACCATTGCTTACATGGAGCTGGATTTTTAGATATTATGAGTAACAAATAAATAGTCCAGGTACAAATAAAAAATAACCCCAGCATTGTTTTGTTTTGTGTAGCTATGTTTTGTACCACCACACGGATGTGATTAGAACCATTTGCAGCTTTTAATGTCAGTGCCAAGAAAAATTACCAGAACCATTTGTTGTTATTTTTGATAAAGCAGGTTCATCTTCAATATTTGGGGTTTTAGCCTGTTCCAAAAATTACACATTTGTGTTGTTACTTTTTCAGCCAAATAATAACCAGACAAAGCATCAGGTAGGACCAACATGTAAACTTGAGTGGGAAATAAAGATATAATTGTGTGGCTAGGTATAAATCTCTTGATGGTGAGATGAAATCTTTATAGAATTTGGAATTTGATCACTTTGGATTTGCTTAGTAGATCTTTTCGATTAAATATCTGATTAAATATGTACTTCTTCCCAGAAACCAATGACGTTTATCCCCTTAATAGGAAAACTCCAAAACATAACTCTTTTTATGTTGCTATTTCCACTTCAAAGAAATTGACTCACAATGATTTATTGTTGTATCTTATTTCTTTTTGCTTTACCCATTGAAAGAATTAGAGCATTGATGGTGTTCCCTAAACTCTCTCTCTCTCTTTTATTCTTTAATCTGAGAAATAATCATAAAAAAAATAAAGCCTGGAGCTGACCTTGTGCTGGGTCATCAAGGATAATGACAATCCAGCAATGGGACACAATGCCTGCCTGTCCCCAATACAGTCAGAGCGTGTTCTTGTACACACCAGTTCTCTGTCACACTCCTGTGGGGCAGCAGGCATTTTTCATGCACCATGTGCTGACAAATAAGAATAGAATGTAATATTGCTGCTCTTCTCCTCATGAAGGTTTGTATGAAATGGGTCCACCAGGCCCAATGGGACTACCTGGGAGAAAAGGGGAGAGAGGAGACCCCGGGAGCCCCGGAATTTCTCCTCTAGGTCCTATTGGAGAAAAAGGTTTCCCGGGCCCCCCAGGTAAGAAGCAGCATGCTTTGTCTCCTCTCTCAACAATTAATTCTAAAACTTGGTCCATGTAATGTCGCTCACCTGTGAACATGTGTGTACACAGGGCCACCCGGGCCACCTGGTCCTGCAGGTGCTCCAGGAAGAGCTCCGGAGGGTGACATTCCTGAACAAGGCCCATCTGGAGATCAGGGACCTCCTGGCCCTGATGGTCCCAGAGGTATGAGAAGATGATGGCAGAGACTGGCTCTCTTTTCTAGATGCTGCCAGCTCAATAGGACTGTAGGACCAGACCATGGCAGAGCAGCAATGCCCATGAAACCCCATCAATTTGGCAGACTGGGTGGAATATGGGTAGTGGTGGGCACTCATCCCCATATTCAGGTCCCAAAGCAGCCCCTGACTCTTCTATGTCAACTCTGCCCTGTCATCTCTGCCCAGATGCAAACAGAATGTAGAGCAAGCATCATATCACCGACTTGGAGCTGCTCAGTGAGGCTTCAGAGGTGCCCGTTAGGTGGCAGGACCTAGGCCTGCTGCACACAGACGTCCTGAGAGGCGGGTAGCTTGTAATCCCTCTCACCACTTCACAAGGATGCCTTCTGAAAGGGCAAGATTTGGGGAGCTCTTGTAAGCTAGCTGACTTTTTATTTAAGAGTCATCTCAGTCCCACAGATTGTCCCATGCAGTTCTCACAAGCTTCTAGAATTCTTCTACAGAGACATAAATATCATTTGGGGATGTTTATAACTTCAAGAAGAATAGAATTGTCCAGGGCAAAACAAAAAATCAAAGCAATAAAATATTCTCAGAAATATAAATGCCCAATGAAAAAGTATTTGTGATCAACTTATTCCTGTCTGTAGATACTTGTTTTCAAATAGAGTACTATATTTAATTGCATGAACATTCATTTTCTATCAGCCATAGTTTTTCAAAAATATATAACCGATTTATAACCAATCCATCCATTAGTCATCCATTCACCCTTCCTTCCTTCCATTTATTCATCTACCCACCCTCCATCTATCCCATCTTTCCATTATCCATCCATCTGTTTTATTAAAGTAGTGAGATGACACCACACATAAAGAACAGAAGCTGATCTCTCAAAAGGAAATGTCGTGGAGAGAGATGAAGTCTTGTGTGGGTTCATTATTTCTTTTTTATTTTTTTATTTATTTTTATTTTTTATTTTTTGGGTCCAGTTGAGGGCCTGAACTCTGGGCCTGGGCGCTGTCCCTCAGCTCTTCAGCTCAAGGCTAGCGCTCTACCACTTGAGCCACATCGCCACTTCCAGCTTTTTTTTTCTGCGTATGTGGTGCTGAGGAATTGAACCCAGGGCCTCATGCATGCAAGGCAAGCGCTCTACCACTGAGCCACCTTCCCAGCCCGAGGGTTTATTATTTCTAATAGCTCCTAACCCATGATCTTTACCATTTCTAAACCCAGGCTCCATGGGATGTACTCTATATTTCACCGTAAAATGATTGACATTCATTCTTCTAATCCTCTACGTCCCTTGCCTTTCAAATCACTAAAATTTTAAGAAGTTCTCTGAGAGCCAATCAACTCCTTTGTCTTTGGCTGAAAGAACATGTTCCCTCCTTTCCTTGTCAGGAGAACCTGGGCCTCCAGGCCCCCCTGGAAGTGTGGATCTTCTGAAAGGCGATCCTGGTGACTATGGCTTACCAGGTGCCCCAGGATCCCCAGGCCCACCAGGTCCTCCCGGATGTCAGGGTATTCCAGGATGCGATGGAAAAGACGGCCAGAAAGGTATGACTATAAGTACCTTACATACTATGTATCTTAGAGTAGACCATCTTGGGGGTACTGTCCTTCTATGGTACAAGCCTGCTTTTTGGTTTGGGATTGGGGGAAAAACAGTGACTATTATTTCCAAAATTCCCTGACTTCCACCAAAAGCCTTCAAGTTTGAGTAAAAGTTGGAAAGTTCAGGGTACAGGGCTTTTTAAATTCCAGTTTGGCTTCATCTGGATCATGGATGCGTTCTCTTTAACCTTTCTGCTCGATCGGTCAGTTTACTTCAGACGGTAGTAGCTCATCTCAGCCTTCCAGAGTCAGACAATCTTTCACGTGAGATGCTGACTTTGCTCTCTCTTTTTGGATCTTCATGGTAAATCAGACTATTACTGTCGCCAGTCCGTTTCATTCTGTGCCCTCATTGTCATGTTTCTTTTAGGACCAATGGGATTTCCAGGGCCTCCTGGCCCTCCTGGCTTTCCTGGCCCACCTGGAAAGAAAGGTTTACCTGGACCTCCAGGTAGAAAAGGGCCCCTGGGCCCTCCAGGTAAACAATTAATGTACGGCCAATTTCTAAGCAACCTGAAGGTGGCATTTTGTCTAAACATCTAGGAGGATCAGAATCCAAAGGTTATCAATTATTTTGAAATTGTTAAACTCTTGTGAGTTAAACCCTTTTGGATATAAGCTCTTTATGTACTGTATATACTTTATGTACTTATATTTGGTACGCTTATAAGTGTTTTCCTAACAAATTTAAAAAATTAGCGAGGTACCATATAATTTTAGCAACTCAGGGGGGTGAGATATGAGGATCTTGGTCAGAAGCCTGCCCAGGCAAATAAATTTGAGAGATTCCTTATCTCCAGATAACTAGCAAAAATCTAGAATTGAAGGCATGGTTCCAGTGCTAGTATACCAGCTGTCAATCACTACCACAAGAACAAAAAGCCAAAATCAACTAAGAAAGAATTGGGGAGACAAGGAGAGAGTGTAAATAGGTTTGTATGTTTGATCTTGGCAGAAGTAATATCTTTCAAGATCCTGAATCGATATCATGGCAATATAGTAACAATTTAGAATAGTTTGTAATCTCTTAAATTGGTCCTCTAATCCAGAGAATATATAAAGTTCTTTGCTTTATGAGGGATCATATTACAACAGAACAAAGGGCTTGGCACTTAGATTTTTTTTAAAAAAATATTTCTTTCCAGTGCCTTACCTATAGAACTTGACAAATTAATACAGAATTTTCAGAACCTTTAAATAGACATAGTTCCTAGGCACATTGGTTCAGGGCATATTTACCATAAGAAATCAGCTAGAATTGTGTATTTCTCAAGAGAGTTTCATGTCAAGTTTTCCTAGAGAGGAAAACTCCATTAGTGCTCAGAGCTGTCTCCCCCTGTCCGTCACATGGCTGAGGACTTCGGCTGAAAATAGGATGCTGTCGTTCTGCACGTCAGCGATGCTGCCTCAAATGATTGCTTAGGTTCTCAATAAATCAATGTCATTTCTGTCCTAATTTAAACATTCTAACGTCTCTTTCCACCATGTGAAAATCGTGGCATGGCCTCAAATTTTTGGCTTTGGAATCTCCGCAGGCTCCAGAGGTAAGCATTGCTGTGAAGTGAATGGTTAGCCACGCTGGTTGCTTTCTCTTCTCTTCTGCCTTTGCCAGGAAGAGCAAATGCAGAGCAAACAGTTTTTGTGAATTACACCAGAGTTGTTTTTTGTTTTGTTTTATTTTGTTTTGTAGAAAGAATGCTACGTTGTATTAGGTTTTAAGGCCTCCTTTTCCTTGTTTACCCTCCTATTTGTGTCCTAATCATGACCCTCATTATAGATGGTCACAATGGGGTAGGCACTTAGCTTCTAAAATTTCAATTTGGGCTCAAAGTCTGAGTATTCCCATCAATGTGACAGCACACACTAATGTAAGTTCCCTTTATGACTTCTATGGTATAAACACACTGAAAAATCCTTAATACCAACATTATTAAGAGATAGTCCCTTATCCTTCAAACTGTGACAAGCCTTTCCTAGCATACCTTTCTGTCCATTTTCTTTTTTCTTTTTTTTTTTAACCTTTCTGTCCATTTTCAAAGGACAAATTTCTTGGTGTGTTAAAAAGCAAATGCTCACTTAACACATCACCATGTAAAAGCAACATATAATTTTGTGCCTGGCACTTTCAATGAAATTAACAAGTGTTTCTGAAAAGAAAAAGGAAAAATAAGTGAATGTGTACATTTGTTCTTTCCTGGTATTTGATATTAACCTTTCTTGCCTTGAATCTAGATGCCATATATTATTTTCAGGGACCTTTGAAGACAAACCACAGCTCTCTTCTTTCAGGTTTTGTTTTATTTAAAGAGTAAAGGGGAAAAAAAGCAAGCACTGATGTCTCATACCTGCAATCCTGGTTATCAGGAAGCTGAGATTTGAGGATCATAGTTCAGAGCCAGCCCAGACAGAAAAGTTTGTGAGACTTTTAGCTCTAAACTACCAAAAAGCCAGAAATGGAGCTGTGGTTCAAACAGCAGAGTGCTAGCCTTGAGCAAAAGAAGCTCAGTGATAGCACCCCATGCAATGAGTTCAAGCCCCAGGACCAGCACCAAAAAAAAAAGCAAAAAGAAATTAAAAACTGTTATATTTTAATATTCATATTTAAAAATAAGTACATTTGAGTTTTCATTTTAGTCCTCTCTGTGTGGCTGTATGAGAAATCATTCGAAGACAACTTTAACATTCTAAATCTAAAATCTAGCCAAAAGACCACCCCATCCCCATTGTCCAGCCACTTCCTCTGGGAAGGCCCAAGCCTCTTTCCCAACTCAGCCATAGTGGTAAAGCCACATTTTACTTTCAAATGAACGTATTGTGAACGTCTATCTGTCCCTGTGCTGCTTGTGTTTTCATACTACGTTTTATGAGAGGCTCAATTTGGATCAGCTTCTAGATTCAAGTCCATTTTTCACAGGCACATGGAGGATTGTAGATGGAAACTTTGTGGTTTGGGTGACATTTTGCTAAGATTTTTCTTAGTGCTTTACTGTTACAGTTGCTAAAATTGTTACCCACCTTTGTAGGAATGTGAAGAAAAGCAGAAGGAATCCAATGGTAATATTTTAACATGTTTCTTAGAATTTATCACACAGGGATCTCTAGGGTAAGGCTGTGACTTGGGGGTCAAGTATTTGCCTAGCAGGCCCAAGACCCTAAATGCAATCCCCCGTAAAACATGATGATGATGATGATGATGATGATGATGATGATGATGATGATGATGATGATGATGATGATGATGATGATATTGAGGCAAGCTGATATGATGGTCATTCTGGGTTTTAATCTGGACTCTGCCATCTGTTGCTGTATGATCATAAATGTATCAGTTATTTACTAGTTTTCTTACTTTGTATGTGTCTCTTGGACCATTCCAATATTATATCCTCAAGGAGCAAAGTCATTGGGTTAGAGCTTCTAGTAATTCTGAAATTAGATTATTTTTGTGCATGCTGGGACTGGGGCTTGAACTCAGGGTCTTGTGATCTTGCTTGATATTTTGCTCAAGGCTGGAGCTCTACCACCTAAATCACAACTCCACTTATGGCTTTTTGCTGGTTAATTGAAGATAAGAGTCTCATGGACTTTTCTACCTTCGCTGAGTTCGAACTATGCTCTTCAGATCTTAGCTCTCTGAGTAGCTAGGATTACAAATATGATCCACCAGCATTTGGCTGCAAGTCTGCAATTCTGTTTGAATAACAGACTAGGAAAACCCACCTTACTGCTGTGCTATGAATTAGGAGATAGGTTTTAGAGACAAACCTTATGAAATGCCACGTGTGGCTGGTGCCCCAGCATAAAGTGAGCCTAAAGCTTGGAGATCCCATCAATGTCATGATACTGTTGGTGCCTTAATGAATTGTCACCATTGCACACTTCCACTTCCTCTGGTAATCCATTCATCATACCAGAAGTCAGTGGCCCCTTTCATCAGCAAATGCTGATGATTTCAATGCATCTCTGCAGAGAACTAAGCAAGTTCCTGCCTTCACTGAATGTGTGCACACATGCACACACACACACACACACACACACACACACACACAAATTTAACATTAGTATAATGTGGGAAGTCCATGTTTAACTGGAGACTGCAGAAAGAGCTGGCTCATAAGCATTTGATCCCATCACACAGGGGTGATTCTAATTTCAGGTGAGCCTGGACCACCTGCAGATGCAGATGCCTGTCCCCGAATCCCAGGGCTCCCTGGGGTACCAGGCCCCAGAGGACCAGAAGGGGCTGTGGGACTCCCTGGACAGAGAGGCCCTCCAGGACCAGGTATGAACTTTACTCTGTTAATTGTTTGTGTCATATTGCTGAAGTGAAAATCTAGATCTATAACAAAAGTTTATTATAAAGGTTATGTACAGAGGGTTTACAGTTACGTAAGTAATGAAAGGACTATGTTTTTTTTGAATTGTTACCCCCTCCTTCATTTTCTCCCACTTTTCCCCCTCCCGATCCCCCACCTCTCAAGTTGTAGAGTTCATTTTCAACATAGTATCTAATGAATATCACTGTTGCATTGGTTCACACTTTGTCCTACCATTTCTATGATTCCCCTTCTCTTTCCCAATCGAGATGAACTTATATATAAGACAAAGGGTACAGAAATTTAAAAAAAACAGAGACAACAGGGAATAAACAAAAGGAGAAAAAAGAAAGAAAAAAAGAAAACAGTACAGTTAAAAAATTCTCTTGTTTCCATTTCTTGGAGTTCATTTCGATAAGCATCATTTTACATGGTCATATGCACATAGCTATTGAGCCATTGTGATCCTCTCCTAAGAATATCCTCCTTTGTTCTCAGTGTGAAAATCCTTAGAGTGTTGTTTAATTAATCATGTCCAAGTGTTTTATTATGCTACTTTTTAAATTGGAGCCTAAATAACTAGAGATGATGAGGCACTAAAAATTTCCTTCCATTTCTTTTAACCAGTTTTTATTCATAGATTCAAAGGGCTAATCAAGTTCTAATTAGATCTATATGTCTCTTCTATTTTTTTTTTTTTTTTTTGTCGGTTGTGGGGCTTGAACTCTGGGCCTGGGCGCTGTCCCTCAGCTCTTCAGCTCAAGGCAAGCGCTCTACCATGTGAGCTACAGCGCCACTTCCGGTTTTCTGGTGGTTTATTGGAGATGGGAGTCTCACGGTCTCTCCTGCCCGGGCTGGCTTTGAACCCTGATCCTCAGATCTCAGCCTCCTGAGTAGCTAGGATTACAGGCGTGAGCCACCAGCGCCTGGCTCTTCTATTTTTGTAATAAACTTTGCTCAAATCTTTTATGCTTGGTCAACTTTTGGGAGTGGGTTTTTGAAATCTCTTAGCACATCAAAATAGATATTCTGTTAATCACCATTAGCTGTTGAATGATAAACAATTACATCTGGTTCTGTAGAATAGAAACTAAGCCTGTGGGAAGAGAGAAGGAGGCGAACGCATAGAGGAAGGATAGGGAGGAGGTAGATGCTCTTAATGCTGCTATTGGATCATTCCTTTAATTGATATGACTATTGCTCACTATGGTGGCAGGATCCTTATTGTATATAGATGCAAACCACATTCTTCTGTTAGGAAGTATCTTCCAAGTGCTTTCTTCTCAGCTCTCTGTTATCACTTTGGGTAATTTACAGAGAGATCAGGGAGTCTGGGATTGGATGTCTGGAAGGGACTTTTATCTTCAGACCAGTTGGAGGTACCCATGATTCCAGAAACATGATATGCAAATTATCAGAAGGCTCCCTCTAACTTCTCCCACTGTCCAGCTGTGATAGGAGCTCTTAATATTTTAGTTCCAAGGAATTAGAAGTTTGTGTCACCTGTTTTTCCTAGTGGTTCCCTAGACTTAAGAAGCTGAACACCTAAAAGATGTCCCTTCAACTTCTTGGGTAGAGGCCAAAGCCTCCCTAGAGTCCTTTTCAAGCTGACTGCTGGTAGTGTTTTCTGCACGGCATCTGTTCATGCACAAGGTTAATTGGGTTTCAGTGACATCCTTCAGCATGCTGTGATTACTTATTTACCTTTCTTTCTTTGGTTCTCATTGCATGTGAGAAGTTCTAACTGGCCAATAAACATTTTAAATACATGCTATACTGTGCATCTATCAGTCATGTATATCTATTTTTGCATATGTCTATTTTTACATCTTTTTAAATGTGTTTTTATTGTAAAAATTCTGTACAGAGGGGTTACAGTTACATGAGCAAGGTAATGAGTACGTTTCCTATCGAGCATTGTTGCCTCCTCCTTTGTTTTTCCCCTATCCTCTCTTCCCTCCCACCTCCACAACTACACTCCCCCCACCCTCCGCCTAAATTGTAAAGTTCGTTTTTCAACATAGTGTCTTGCACATCTCATTGTTACAATGAGTCAACCTGTATCCCTATTTAAGCATTTTGTTTTTTCCCTTCCCCTCCCCAAATTAGAGAAGTGTATATATAAGATGCAGGACAATGACATCAAATACACTGAAAACAGGGGTTATACCATGGGGGAGGAACATACAAAGAAATTTAAAAAATCACATGGTACATTATAAATATGTTAGAAACAATAGCAAGAAAGAAAAAACCACTTGTGTCCCTATGACCAGATAAGATGATGTTAAGTGAAATGAACCCCAAGATAGGGACATGCATCTATTTTTTACATATATGCTTTGCCTATATCTCCAGGACTGCCTCCCAACTCTTAAAAAAATAACTTGCAACTAGGAGCTGTGACCTGTTGTAAGGGTTTGCAGATTGTTTAATAAATACTTCCAGTTTCCCTCCACCTGGTACTACTGTGAGCAGTACAAAGATGAGTCTTCCAATGTGTTTTCCTTAACTGGGGAATCCCAGTCACGTGGCAGAAATAGCTAGCAGGGCAGAAGTAACTCAAAGGTCAATTATAATTCATGCCTTATGGATGTTACAAGTGGAGGACAGTAGGAGATTGGGTCAGAAAGTGGTAAAGCACATGTGGAGCTTGGTAGGACCATGAAGACCCAGCGAGGGCTGGCATTTGAGCAGAGTCTGAAGGAAAGCTTTGGTTGAGGAGCCAGAATTGTCCAACAAGGAGACAGCAGGACCGTAGTAGATTGGTCTATTAATGTAGTAATGAGGAATCAGCTACATTCTTGTTTCTCTAAGTGTGTGGTCCAAGGATCAGTGCTCCATTTCCAGGCCTACTGAACCTGAATCTGCATTTTAATAAGATCCTGGGACATTTATGAACATTTAAATTTGAGAAACCCTTACCGTAGCCTATGAATGCTCTCTTTAAAAGATGTTAATGCCTTCCCTAGTGATTCCATCCCAATTGCAGGTTCAAGTCACCTAGAGGAAATAGAAAAGGTTCTAGTGCTTGAGCCTCATCAGACCAATGGAAGGAAGAGGGGTCTGAGCCCAATCCCACAGATGACGCAAGCAGGCAGCAGAGGCAGAAACCCGCTGTTGTACCCCAACATCAAAACTGAGATCCTGATGGTGGGTGGTTTTGTCCATCATAGTGGCTTTAGGAAACAGCTAAAGAAAAACAACTGAAAGAAAATATACCAAGGGTAGATTCTGTAATCTTCAACTTCGTAGTGAAATCGGACATGTGAAGATTCTCTCTCTCTCTTTCTCTCTCTCTGAAGATTGTGAGTTCTGAAAGAGAGCTTGCTTGCTACCCAGGCCCAGGTGTGATTGCCAGTGCCAATTCCTCCTGATGTAGGCTGGAGGGGCTCATCCACAGGGGCTCATCCTTCTCTGGCTTCCTTTGCCTTCTTAAAGGTGATAATGACCCTGTCTGATGACAGTGGGGCCTTGTCCCAAGACCAGCTCTGCCACAGAATGTGACCATTGTTACACAAAACAAGAACTTGCTCAGTTCTCCCAGTGAGCCATTCCTCTCTCTCCAGAGTGTCTCAGCCCAGCTTCCATCACTCCTCAGCTCAGCTTCCTGGGGTTGCCTTTGCCCTACAGGACACCTGCTTCATTATTGCTTTCTTTGGGGGTCCCTGTTCTCTGATACTACCTCCTGTTTACAAGGAACCAGAAGTCATTCTCAATGTTTTCTGCATTCCCTTCTCCCACCTGTTACCACTGGGTATCTGGCTAGCTAAGAATGACAGGTCTAAAAGGGCCCAATCCTGACTGACCAGGCCTACCTTAAGTGTAGGTTTCTCAGTACCCTTCCTTTCCTGAAGAGGATTCTTTCAAAAGTGTGTGTGGGGGGGAGGGGGTGCATACACAATTACAGTTGGCTGAGTTGTGAAAAACAGCTGCTTCTAGAAGAAAACACTTCCACTTAAAATGACATTATTCTTTTCTTCCTATTTTCTTTGGAGATGAGACTGACATAAAACACACCAAACTTCCCTCTCTGTCCTTCCAAGCATGGAGGCTAATACCACACTAAGTATAAGTGGTATCTACTCAAGGCCCTCCACCCCAGAAGACCTAATGCTCTATATCCACACATCTCCTCCCTCTGCAACTTTTCCTACAGGGAGGCCCTCCAAGCCTTCCACCTCCTAAAGTAAACGCAAAGGCAGTTTCCATTTTGTTTTGAGTTGTCCTTGCCTAATGTGTGTGTCCACATCCTGTGAGGGATGTATTTGTCTTCACTCAGGTTAATGAGGGCTTTCTTCCTGTCTCTGGGAAAATGTCATCCTCTAGCATCTTATCCTAAAGGAAACAAAGTGTGCATTGTAACACTTGGCATGGAGATCCGCAATCAATCAGAGATGATGGCACTTGGAGTCCATATGTCAGGTGGCATGTCTGGTACCTGTCCAATAGATGAAGGCAATTCTAACAAATCCATGAACCAACTACTCCTCAGTCCTTGGAAGTCCTTTGTAGACACCCATAGTGGCTTCATGTTGGACCCCTTTTGTCAGATAGGATGGAGAAAACTCAGTGTTTTTTTCTGAAACACCTGACATTGTTCTTGATGCTGGTGGGGGAAGTCACACCAGCTCTCCATCCAGGAAGAAGAGGTACTTGCCTTGTTACATGGAGAGTAAAGCTGTACTCACCTGAATGGGAAGACCTGTCCTCCTACAAGGTGCAGGCACCTTCAGGACACTAGGCACAAATGCATTTCTAATCCTGGGGCTCAAAGGTGGGGTGACGTTAATAAGGGCACTAAAGAATCAAAAAGAGACTCTCTAGAGAGGAAATAAGAATGGCTAATAGACACATGAAGAAACGTTCAACATCTCTGGCCATAAAAGAAAGGCAAATCAAAACCACATTGAGATTCCACCTCATCACAGTTAGAATGGCCATTATCAAGAAAACAAATAATCAC